ACGTCAGTAATACAGTATTCTCTGGGGCAGCATGACATCAGTAATACAGTATTCTCTGGGGCAGCATGACATCAGTAATACAGTATTCTCTGGGGCAGCATGACATCAGTAATACAGTATTCTCTCAGTAATACAGTATTCTCTGGGGCAGCATGACATCAGTAATACATTATTCTCTGGGGCAGCATGACGTCAGTAATACAGTATTCTCTGGGGCAGCATGACATCAGTAATACAGTATTCTCTGGGGCAGCATGACATAAGTAATACAGTATTCTCTGGGGCAGCATGACATCAGTAATACATTATTCTCTGGGGCAGCATGACGTCAGTAATACATTATTCTCTGGGGCAGCATGACGTCAGTAATACAGTATTCTCTGGGGCAGCATGACATCAGTAATACAGTATTCTCTGGGGCAGCATGACATCAGTAATACAGTATTCTCTGGGGCTGCATGACATCAGTAATACAGTATTCTCTGGGGCAGCATGACATCAGTAATACAGTATTCTCTGGGGCAGCATGATGTCAGTAATACAGTATTCTCCGGGGCAGCATGACACCAGTAATACATTATTCTCTACATCAGTAATACAGTAATCTCTGGGGCAGCATGACATCAGTAATACAGTATTCTCTGGGGCAGCATGACATCAGTAATACAGTATTCTCTGGGGCAGCATGACGTCAGTAATACAGTATTCTCTGGGGCAGCATGATGTCAGTAATACATTATTCTCTGGGGCAGCATGACATCAGTAATACAGTATTCTCTGGGGCAGCATGACATCAGTAATACAGTATTCTCTGGGGCAGCATGACGTCAGTAATACAGTATTCTCTGGGGCAGCATGACATCAGTAATACATTATTCTCTACATCAGTAAAACAGTAATCTCTGGGGCTGCATGACATCAGTAATACAGTATTCTCTGGAGCAGCATGACAACAGTAATACAGTATTCTCTGGGACAGCATGACATCAGTAATACATTATTCTCTGGGGCAGCATGACATCAGTAATACAGTATTCTCTGGGGCAGCATGACATCAGTAATACAGTATTCTCTGGGGCAGCATGACATCAGTAATACAATATTCTTTGTGAATACAGTACTTAAGAAAAAGTCATAATGAGACCAATCTACTTCTCTTCCCAGCGCCAATTACCCTCCATGTGTTCACATGAACAGCGATGCTTAGCAAAAAGACAGGGATTAATCAGAGAACATTTCTTCTTTTATAAACTGTAATCCTACATTTTGCCTCTCTATGTAGTAAAATGGCCAAGCTGGTGCATTGAAGTAAATATCACACATTCGCCCAGGGCGCTCTCAAAATTAGAAATAGGAGGCTCTTATTAGAATATTATTTTGGTGGAAAAAAAAACAGTGTTGAAAGATAAATTTCATGGTTATGCTGACAGCCTGAAATGTTTATGTACGACAGATATATTTTTCAAGAATTTTATTGCCCATAATTAAGGGTGCATATAGCACACAAGTGTGTATTATACGAGAATAAATTAGTCTTGTGTACATTGATCACTCGGAAGGGGTGCTAATTGGAATTGTTTGCCAGCCAATATATCAGCAAATGTCACCGTGGGCACTTATGACATCGAATACAGTATCCATTATTACATTGAAGTAAATATCACACATTCGTAGTGGATGAATGTAATTATCCATTATTACATCATTATTTACGTCTGAATAGTGTATTTGTTATCAAAATGTTTAACACCTAATTAAACCAACTATCTGGCATATCTGGTAATATTTGGTAGATTTTCCCGCACATATTTTACGAGACAATATAACAAAACAGCTTTTAGGAGTGATTTGAAATTAATTAATTACAAAGAAATAAAAATGAAAAGTAGAGTTAAAAAATTCACTCAATACAATGTTTCATCTAGACACAGGTTGCATTGACATACCGTATTCGATGTAATAAGCGCCACGCTCTTATAAGTGCCCACGGCGACAATTGCTAATATATTGGCTGGTGAACAATCCCAATTAGCACCCCTTCCGATTGATCAATGTACACAAGACTTATTTATTCCCATATAATACACACTCGTGTGTTGTATGCACCCTTAGTTATGGGCTTATAAATTTTGGAAAAATGTATCTGTCGTACATAAACACTTCAGGCTGTCAACATAAACCACAAAATTTATTTTGCAACTCTGTTTTTTCACCAAAATAATATTCTAATAAGAGCCCCCTATTTCTAATTTTGAGAGCGCCCTGGGCGATTATTATGTCGAATATGGTAAGTCTAGCTGTTTTCTTTTCCGACAAAAAACTCTTGAAATTTATTTTTTGTAAAAACATAAAAATATGCATATTTCAGTCACTTACAAACAAATTTACAATTTAAATTGGCTGAGGTAGGTAAAATTGTACAAAAATGTGTATAATATTAGAACATCTATAGTCTTTAATGTCATGTTTCTATGATCAAATATCAATATATAGGTAAAAGTTATTTCATAAACAGAAATATATACCCTTGGGACATACGGGTTCCTAGGTTCATCAGAAACCAGTTTTCATTCCTCACAACATACACATCTACACATCTCCCTTTGGCACTAAACATGATCAAATATCATTATTCAGGTAAAACTGATTTCATAAAAAGAAATATATACCCTTGGGACATACAGGATCCTAGGTTCCAACACATTCTTCTACTCAGTGCTAAATAGTTATGTCTTGAATTATAACCATTCAGGTTTAGACACAAACATCAAAGATAGATCAATTTCCATCAGTATAATACACCAGACCATTTCATTACCGTGTTTTATAAGCAATATTTCCTATTGCAATAAAATATTCTATAAGAGTGTTCCATTATCCGGACGTCTATAAGCAAGCACAGCTTAGTACCGTTTATCCATGATGTGGTGAAGTTATGACACAAACATATTTCATACATTAGTTGAAAACAACTAGGCCAAGGGGATTAACTTGTCAAATCAGATATTTATGATGTGAGCAAATAGCTTTTGATAATATATTTGTGATTTGACAGCTCTATTCTGTATTGGTCCTGGCTTCAATATCTCTTAAAGACATATAGAAATCCTGCCCATTTACAGACATCAATAAGCACTAATCTGGTACTGTGTGGTGTAACATTGTGGCGTTGGGTTAAATTGCTGACAGTCTAGCTTCTCAGTTTATATGTTCAGATAACATGCAGATAACAGGAAAATAGACGTATTCATGCTAGGGTAATTGTAGTTCATTGGCAAAAATAGTGTGTGAGTAAGTGTGGCAATTAGTGTGAAATACAGTTGTAGCATATATGCAGGAAAAAAGCCGTATCATGCTAGGGTATTTGTAGTTCATTGGCAAAAATAGTGTGAGAGTAAGTGTGGCAATTAGTGTGAAATACAGTTGTAGTATATATGCAGGAAAACAGCCGTATTCATGCTAGGGTAATTGTAGTTCATTGGCAAAAATAGTGTGAGAGTAAGTGTGGCAATTAATGTGAGATACAGTTGTAGCATATATGCAGGAAAATAGCCGTATTCATGCTAGGGTAATTGTAGTTCATTGGCCAAAATAGTGTGTGAGTAAGTCTGGCAATTAGTGTGACATACAGTTGTAGCATATATGCAGGAAAATAGCCGTATTCATGCTAGGGTAATTGTAGTTCATTGGCAAAAATAGTGTGAGAGTAAGTGTGGCAATTAGTGTGAAATACAGTTGTAGCATATATGCAGGAAAATAGCCGTATTCATGCTAGGGTAATTGTAGTTCATTGGCAAAAATAGTGTGAGAGTAAGTGTGGCAATTAGTGTGAAATACAGTTGTAGCATATATGCAGATACGATATACTATCTTATAGGGCTGGGACGGGTAACTCGGGTTGTGGTCGGGTGGGTACTGAGCAGGACTACCCGGATCCGTGGTTAGTCTAGTATTATATTGTTTAATGACAAAACTTATCTAAAATTCTATTGTCACACTATAAGTCACTAATGTTCCATTTCTTTCTGACTATGCACGCATTCCTTCTGACTTTTATATGTTTGAAAAAAAAAGATAAAACTTCATGCAGTAAACATCAGTGTATGCATGACCAGATCATTTTATATATGTATCTAAATACATTTTGCCAGGACTACGGTCAAACTTTTCCCAATCGGACAGTTTGTACCTTTCTCTTGAGACCTACAGTGGGTACTCGGGTAGGGTCAGGTAATAGGGGGGTGGGTACCCAGGTAGTAAATTTTGACTCATCCCAGCCCTACTATCTTGCAATACACTAATTTAGGTCACACTATAAATGTAATTATTGGACTGGACAGTACGCCTGGTCAGCACTACTTTCTGATTGCATCTATATTTGTAACATCTGTTGAATTTTATACAGCATCCTTTATTATGTTAGATGTATGAGAACTTGGTTGATTGTGTGTATGAAATGAAACTGATTGAATAATCCTTTGTTACTTACTGATATGTGAAAATAACTGAAGTGTGAATATGAAGAAATAATATCTAAAGTTTTTGTTTTTCTAGATTATAGTGATAATTTATTTTCAACAGGTGAAATTTGGGAGTAAAGGTCAGACTGACAATCCTGTTCTACAAGCTAAAATACTGTTGGTAAACAAAATTGTAACACTCTCCTTACTTATCTACAAATTAAATAAAGGTCAAACATTAATTATAAAAAATATCAGATATCATATATATTTGAATCAACAAATTTTATTGCAATTCCATGGTTTTTTTTAAATAAAATTATTCCCTAAGCATGTTTCACTGATACCAACCAAATATTAAACTGATACAGATATATATTAAACATTTATCAAGGTTGTTTATATCCATAACTGCACAATGAAAACAAAAACAGTCCAGAGACAGTTAGTAAATAATGACAAAAATTAAAAACTTTTTTTTTTATATTCCACATAAAAAAATATAAATGTATACATTTATATCTGTTGCGCATTTCTTACCTCATCGTGGTCCCAGCGTTCAAGCCATATCGCTACTTTATCCAGCTGTCTGTCAAACTCAACACTGCTTGGGGTGGGGTGAACACCCCCGTGCCCCCTCCAAGTCACACCCCCTCCTATATCCCGACCCCCTTGGCCCTCGAGCAATCCAATCTTTGGAAACGAGCTGCGCATCTTCTCTACTTTGTTCATTTTAAACAGTTACAAGACTCGTCAAACTTGCGCTAGTCCCATTATGTCAATCATTCTATAGAATAAGCCCGTGCTACTCTACTGACACATGTGCGGGCACTTTGTACACAACAGCTTGGCAACAACCTGCAGCTAGGACGTGACGTCACATTTATAAATATAGAACACGCACGTGTTTTTATTTGTCGTTAAAAATGGCTACACAATTTATTTCATGCCGGACATATATCGATACCACATCTTCAGTACATCTCACAATGTGGTTTATGGTGTTCGGGTTGTTTCTCAGGTTTAAATATGCATTTTCAAATCTATTTCTTATTTTTTACGACAACCACAAGTAGGATTATTTTTCCCAACATGGCTGTGTTGGTGTTGGACAACGGCGCGGGAACTGCAAAAGTTGGCTATGCTACCGACAAGGAGCCTAGGTAAGGACATGTTTGATGTAAAGTGTACGGGAACAGTATGAGGAAAATCTGGATAGCTGACAAAGGCTTACACTGTGTTCAGCGATCTTGATCTGCGGTTAAATTCGAGGCTTGTAATACCAACTGACTACAGCCTTTCTTCGCCTTCGGCTCCACTGAGGATGTGTGTTAAACATGTTAAAGATATCGTTGCATTAATTTTAAAACCGATTGGGTGTAGTGCATTTAAACGGACAAGCTTACCGCACTCTAACCCTAAAATACGAGAGAACCAGCCGTTTTGGGATCGTAATGGCTGAGATAGTAAACAACTGGGAATATCTGAAAAATAAAAAAAACGACTGATTCTGACTAAATTCAGATACACAACTATCCCCCTACATCCTTTCGTTTCAGGATAATTCCCAATTGTGTTACATTCTTTCGTTTCAGGATAATTCCCAATTGTGTTACATTCTTTCGTTTCAGGATAATTCCTAATTGTGTTACATTCTTTCGTTTGAGGATAATTTCAATTGTGTTACATTCTTTCGTTTCAGGATAATTCCCAATTGTGTAACAAAAGCAAAAAATGTGCGGACAAGAATTTTCATTGGTGATCAAATCGATGACTGCAAAGATCTATCAGGGTTGTACTACATGCTGCCATTTCAGAAGGTGAGAGCAATTGTCTTGACTTCTTACTGTAGCAGCCATAAGGTATGGAGTCATCCAACAGATGACATCTTTACCTACCCGTGGAGATCCAGGTTAGAATAGGTCTTTAGCAACCCAAGCTTGTCGTAAGAGGCGACAACAGGATCGGGTGGTCAGGCTCGCTGACTTCTTTGATGCATGGCATCCTTTCCCAGTTGTGTGGATCATAATATCAATCACTGGATTGTCTGGTCCAGCCTCAATTATTTACAAGTCCGGTAAGTTTTACAAGTAAGATTAAGTCCAGTTTCCACCCTTGCCGAAATAGGCTGCAATTTCGGAGTTCTGTTTTGGCATGGACTAACAATTCCATGCATACTCCAGTCAAAAGTGTGTAATGAAATTGTCATCCTGTTCGTAACAGAATTTTCAAAGCATGTGTACCTTCAACCTGGCGTTGACAAATATTTCCCAAATCTTTTCATGTTTTTGTAATTTGATGCACTTTGCGAGGTAAGGCCCATTTTTTAACAATATGGATCTTGATATTAATTGATCAAATCGTCTTGAATGGGTGTCGTCATTTTGTTTGAAGCAAATGCAAGTAATATGGTAGGTGGAATCTGATTGGTCAAAAGGAGGTATTTAGAAGGGTCATAGCTCTCAATAGCCACTGGTGGCGCTACAATCGGGCCAGAAAATTCCAACCTAGTGCGGCAAGGGTGGAAACTCGACTTTTACACTCAGTTAACTCCCTTGCCTAGGGAAGATGAGGATGTAAAAGTTGACACCACTTTAAACATAATCATATCAAAGCAGGACACCAGAAATGGGCTTCACACATTGTACTCTTTGGGGTCTTCAGTGTGACGAGCCAGCACTTTAACTACAAGGCTACTAGAGCTGAGTATCGCTTGTTATCTGACGATACTACAGATATCACGATACACCACATCAAATAAAAAGAAATGATGAAATCACTGTAATACAGCTCTAAAACCTCTTTCTTCATACATTTATTTTGTTATCTCAAAAACTTTAACAAAGAAAATCACAAGAAAAAACATTTTTTATTGAAGGGGTGGTTATTAAATTTTATAACAGTTAGTCAGTGTGTCCTCAGTCACCATGTCCTCGTGTTCTGCCTTTCTTACAAGTGACACTATGCTACTCCTCCATTATGGGAGATAATGCAATTAGTTCCTGTTCTATTTATATCATATAACGATCTCACACACTGTCGATTCAAGTATCGTGTTCACTTATGCATCGTTGATATAGTAGGTGTCAGTGAATCGTTACAGCCCTAAAGGCTACCCCACTGCCCTGCTATTAAATAAGTCAGAAGAGATGATGTCCAAGCTGAGAGTTGTTTATTTACACTAGATATGTACTCCTCCTCCAGGGCTTCCTGACCAACTGGGACATCGAGAGACAAGTATGGGACTACATGTTCGGAAAAGATGTCTTCCAGGTACACAGGAAACAAACACCCTGATAGTGTCTTCAAAATCACAGGGGAGACAACTCCAAGTCTATACACGTTGACTTCGCTAGAAACAAGTATCATCAGGACATTTTCATGATTTTATCAACTTTTGACAGGACATACTATACATCATTACTATTTGGACAAGTCTTCAGGATATTTTGACTCACAGCTGTCAGTGTCCTAGCAAATTAGCCGATCTGAAACCCTGATACAGTGCGATAGAATACACATGTAATACAGCAGTAGAAATTTGCGCTAGTCCTGTAGTCCTTGCTAAACTAAGGTGTCGTAAGGACTAGTCGAAATTTCCCATTTTTAAGGGTTTTGCTATATGTTATCATTATAAGGACTAGTGGACTTAAACTGTTAGTTTCTACCGCTGTAATATGTAGTAAGATGAAATCACTTTTCTCATTTGGACAGGGGACCCAAAACATGAACATTGTCGCCTTAGGCTTGGCTGCAGTGACTTAAACGCTGATAAGTTTAGACAACATGGGTATGATTTAAAAACGATATTACATGTCAGCAGTTCTACAAACATGACTATTCCTTAATCAGTTCACGATTTCATTGTCCAAAGCAAAAGATTCGATTAGCTTAATTTTATGCATGTAGTAATGGAAAACTGCATTGTTTTTTATTTCACAGACTTGCTTCAATGTATTGGCTTCATGTATTTCATTTGTGCATTTTGAATGTTTATGATTAGCACTATCTTATATATAACCAGCTGTTGTAAAGTTATTACCTGGAGAGGTATTTACATAAGCAAGTTTTGATTGTTTACTGATCCAGATGTCTTTTGAAATAAATATATGTTTAAACCAAGTTGTAATTTGCAATTTTTGATAACAATTCATAGTAAATAAATAAACTAGGACATATAGTGACTAATATGTGACTAATTTGCTTGTGTAACTTGACCATACCCTACCATGTGTCTACTCTCATTGTTTTGCAGGTCAACTCAAATGAATGTACAGCTGTTGTCACAGAGCCATGCTTCAACTTTGCCTCAGCTCAAGAAGCGATGAATGAAGTCTTCTTTGAAGAATACCAGTTCAATGCCCTGTACAGATGCAATGGTTAGAATACTGTTAATACTCTTATTTTTGTTTACTTTACAAGAGTTATTGGCGACCACATTGTTTAATAAGTCTACTAAACAAGTGAGATAAGTCTTTCCCAACGTCACAGAATAAATGGAATGAGTTTGGTGTATAGTGGCAACAGGCTCTACAGAGTTGTGTCCCTTAGCTGGTAGTATTTCAAGCTCCTTCCCAGCGTGTGACACCTCTGTAACATCACTGCCACCAGTGTGGGCGTGGCCGTTACAAGAATCTTGAAATTTGCGCTCTAACCCCAAATGTAGTAACGTGTATACTTTTGTTTATGTTTTTGGGGATGCCAATACAGTTATTTTTTAAAAGGTTTACGACTGACCGTATTTCCCAGATGAATTTAAATTTTTGTTTGTTTGATCAAATTGGTTCGAGATTGCATGCAGACGAACGAAAAATCACCCAAATCACCCCTTACATTCTTACTATATCAATTACATGATAGTTGAAATGAAACAGAAGTTCAAATTGGCAAACAAAGAAAATAGTTTAGTTAGGGTAAGAGTATTCAGCGTCGCTAGTTTGTAAGCATAACGGTCCATCGATTGCGAGTTCAACTCCAAGCATGGTTGTGACCACCTATCACAGTGTGGAGTTTTGACTGATGGCAGCAATAGTGTAAAGAGCTCCATGAACGGGCTGTCACTGTGAGGAGCTTGGTAGTATTTTGCTAGTATCTGCACTTGTGGGAACTTTAACCCGTTCATCTTGATCATCATCCTTGATCCACCATCCTTTACTCACAGGTTTCGACAACTAAGTAAACATCTAAGGTCAGTATCTATGTGGGCTTACCTCTCACAGTAAGTCGACAGTTGCGGTGTGAGGCAATGAAAAACCTGTAACCATGAATAGTTTTGAAGACTGCTCAAAGTGAATCGCTGTATCATAGTATTAGCTACTATTTATGTAGACTTTAAGATATACAGCTCATTTTACAATCAATATTTCTGGTTTCAGATATTTGTGGAATTGATTTCTGTTTACAGCTCATTACACCATGTATACAACTGCTATTTCTGTTTACAGCTCATTATACCATGTATACAACTGCTATTTCTGTTTACAGCTCATACCATGTATACAACTGCTGTTTCTGTTTACAGCTCTTTTCCCATGTATACAACTGCTGTTTCTGTTTACAGCTCATTATACCACGTATACAACTGCTGTTTCTGTTTACAGCTCATTATACCATGTGTACAACTGCTGTTTCTGTTTACAGCTCATTATACCATGTATACAACTGCTGTTTCTGTTTACAGCTCATTATACCATGTATACAACTGCTGTTTCTGTTTACAGCTCATTATACCATGTATACAACTGCTGTTTCTGTTTACAGCTCATTATACCACGTATACAACTGCTGTTTCTGTTTACAGCTCATCATACCACGTATACAACTGCTGTTTCTCTTTACAGCTCATTATACCACGTATACAACTGCTGTTTCTGTTTACAGCTCATTATACCACGTATACAACTGCTATTTCTGTTTACAGCTCATTATACCACGTATACAACTGCTGTTTCTGTTTCCAGCTCATTATACCATGGATACAACTGCTGTTTCTGTTTACATCTCATTATACCACGTATACAACTGCTGTTTCTGTTTCCAGCATCATGTCTGAGTCAGTACAAGAGCCAGAAGGAGGAGCCAGGGAAGAACCTATGTACGCTGGTGGTGGACACCGGCTACTCCTTCACACACATCGTCCCCTACTTCAAAGGCAAGAAAATCAAAGAAGCAATCCGGAGGTAGTGTACACGGTGGAGATAACTAACACTGAAATGTTGTTTCATAGGGAATGATTGGCATTAAGGCCTGCTTTTGGTAACCATGGTGACATTCCAAGATTACAGGGGGCATGGGTGGTCCAGTCGTCTAAGGTGCCGCGATTCGCTGTGCAGAGTTGCATCCCTTGGGCAGGCCAGAAACCTATGATTGTGGGTTCGAATCCCGGTTAGACCCGATTATGTTTCTAGATTTGTCAGCACCATACCCGTGCTCATGGGTTTCACCGAAGTGGTAAACGTCTGAGACCTGCATCACTTGGGGCTTTCCTCCCACAATAAGCTGACTCACTGTGATATAACTGGAATACTGTTAAAAGCGGCGTTTAACCCTACTCACTCACTCTAAGAGTACATTGTTGCATGTGACTTACTATGTCATGTCATTAGAGCCCACAGGATTTAACCAGATCAGATGCCAAAGGTGGCATTTTTTGATTACCTGGCAGTGTTCCAGATAGATTCTGTATCAGCGTATTGTATGGATGAAAAGCAGTTTAATACGGGTGGATTGCAAATTACGGCTGTATCAAAAACGTGGGCACACAAATCCTTACACTCTCATGATTTATCTTAACCGTACCGTGTCTGTTTATTATCCCCCGCCGCGCGAAAGCGCGAAGCGGGGGATATAGTATTCACGACCGTCCGTCCGTACGTCCCACCTGTTTGTTGCCGCGATATCTCAAGAACTAAACACTGGATTGTCTTCATATTTGGAACTATGGTGTATATACAGACTCTGCAGACACCAGTCGGTTTTGGTGACCTTGATCCCATTTTCAAGGTCACAGCAGACAAATCTGCTTTTAGAGTTGGAAAACAGTGTTGCCGCGATATCTCAAGAACTAAACACTGGATTGTCTTCATATTTGGAACTATGGTGTATATACAGACTCCGCAGACACCAGTCAGTTTTGGTGACCTTGACCCCATTTTAAAGGTCACAGCAGGCATATCTGCTTTTGGAGTTGGAAAACGGTGTTGCCGCGATATCTCAAGAACTAAACACTGGATTGTCTTCATATTTGGAACTATGGTGTATATACAGACTCCGCAGACACCAGTCGGTTTTGGTGACCTTGATCCCATTTTCAAGGTCACAGCAGACAAATCTGCTTTTAGAGTTGGAAAACGGTGTTGCCGCGATATCTCAAGAACTAAACACTGGATTGTCTTCATATTTGGAACTATGGTGTATATACAGAATCCGCAGACACCAGTCGGTTTTGGTGACCTTGATCCCATTTTCAAGGTCACAGCAGATAAATCTGCTTTTAGAGTTGGAAAACGGTGTTGCCGCGATATCTCAAGAACTAAACACTGGATTGTCTTCATATTTGGAACTATGGTGTATATACAGACACCGCAGACACCAGTCGGTTTTGGTGACCTTGACCCCATTTTCAAGGTCACAGCAGGCAAATCTGCTTTTGGAGTTGGAAAACGGTGTTGCCGCGATATCTCAAGAACTAAACACTGGATTGTCTTCATATTTGGAACTATAGTGTATATACAGACTCCGCAGACACCAGTCGGTTTTGGTGACCTTGATCCCATTTTCAAGGTCACAGCAGGCAAATCTGCTTTTGGAGTTAGAAAACGGTGTTGCCGCGATATCTCAAGAACTAATTGCTGGATTGTCTTCATATTTGGAACTATAGTGTATATACAGACACCGCATACACCTGTCAGATTTGGTGACCTTGACCCCATTTTCAAGGTCACAGCAGGCAAATCTGTTTTTGGAGTTGGAAAACGGTGTTGCCACAATATCTCAAGAACTAATCGCTGGATTGTCTTCATATTTGGTACTATGGTGTATATGGCGGGGGATATTTCGTCACTCTGTGACAAATGCTTGTTTTCAAAATGATTTTTCGTAACATGGTTAAACTTCGGTTTACCGTATCAGGCATTATCGTCTGCTTAAACAGGAATACATGTACATCGTTTCCGGTCCTTAGCAAATGGATGTTCTCTAAATCCTCCAAATCATTGGCTAATAATAACACATTTGAATTATCTCATCTTGGTTAAGTTTACATTACTTTGGCACCAAAATCTGAATTACAACACGATCTTATAATGTTTGTATCACAATATCATACTAGTACTCGTCAATTCTACAAACAAGCAGTATGGTACTTACTGGTTTAAAAAAATATGTCTGGTACTCGTCAGGTCTGATAATGACCAAGAAAAAACTGTACTCATATGGTTGAAAAATGATCTGGAGCTCTGACTTGTTGTTTCTGACACACCTATTGAATACTCCCTGCTAGTCATTCCAACGTTACTGGAGCATAGTGGTGCAATGATGCGTCAATTCATATCAGAATCATGATACATAATGAGACGATTCAGTAGATCGGTGAACAATTCCATTTCATTGTCACGTTGTGATACAACCGAACAGTCACAATTCATCAATACCTCCAAATATCAGTGAATCACGATACTTGACTGTGATTTGTCCATATTAACATGATTAACAGGTATGAAATAATATATTCCCAAGAAATGGTATTTTCTTTTTATAATTTGAAGTATTGTGCAGTAGTGAGAAAACCAGTTACCAGAAGACCGGGAATAATTGCAAATATAAGATAGCTACGCGATAAATCGCAAAGAAAAATGAAGAACAAAGTGTGGTTTATTTCACGATAAAACATTGTTCTATCATGACGTCATTTCTGGAGATTCGATCATGCACTCGCAACTGATGATGTCGTAGATTGGAGGACGTTATTTTTTAGATGGGAGTGTCTAGTGACAATCGGTATTGGGGGAAAAGGCACAGGTATTCAACATAATGAATGTGAGAATATGCGGGAAATACCCCCCTGTGCCTAAAATGAACTGTCCAGCATGGCTGAGGTCAGATTGTATTCGGGGAGTTATCATTACTTAGATCATGTAGATACGGGTGAAGCTTGTACACTTTATTTATCATCGTCTTTAACGAGGCTGTACATCATGTACATAATGTTGATATCTCATATATAAGAAATAAACGTCTCATGGTCGACAATAAAACACTGGCAGGAGAATAAACCATGAGGGGCGCAGGATAAACAACTTCGACTCATTTATTTCTTAAATACAATATTTGAGAGGGTAGTTTGAGCTGCTGTTATGCGATGGTCGCTAACTATGTTCATAATGTTCATTACAATGTCAGTTTTTGTCTACATCACTGCACAAAGGAGTCAGAACCTAGGACTGTTTCACAATCTGGTCCCCATTGTAGTAGACATTGTTATGGTCTTGTGTAAAACTTGGACAACTTGTAAATAAGGTCATCATGAACTGTAGTGTAGATTGTACGGGTGTGCGGTATTACCAGTAGACTGGTATATTGTGGTGCAAATCTTCAGCAATACATATTGGGATACATTTGTAAATGTAACAATTATTGGGGCAAATATAAATAAGTATGTTTATGTGTTCCTAATCAGTATGGAGATGGAAAACAGTATCTTTCCGATACAACTTGCCTCTGATGATCTTTTTATCAATTAGCGTGTACTAATCACAACTATCAAGCTCCTGACAGCGATAGCCCATTAGCGGAGCTCTCTATACTGAGAGTATAATGCGGTGTTACACGCTTTAAAGGACATTAATACAAGGTGTAACTCTGATTAACTCATGAAAATGTAAATTGGCAATATATTGCAATACGTATCGCAACACAGGTTCTAAGTATGGCAATATATTGCAATACAAAATCAAAGTCAATACACAGTCCTAGTAGATTGTGATACATTTTATGCTTGTACATTATCATTTTTACAGTATAATGACATTCTTGTTGTAATCCGCAAAATCACTGTTTATTTTGTTTTTTGTTTTGTTTTTTCAGAGTAAATGTTGGAGGGAAATTATTAACAAACCATTTAAAAGAAATCATATCCTATAGGTAAGTGTTTATGTCTTTTTATTACTTGCCCTTTAAGAGATCACCCGTTTAATAAACATACAGCTGTATTTTACATTGTGTAATACCAAAGTGCATTCTTTTGCACTGCAAGAACAAGTTTTACTCACAAATATTGTAAACTCCCAACATCCCTGGACTTTTTCAATGACATTGCGTGGAGAGATGATAGATCACTGAGAGGAGCTTGTGCACACTCGATGACCCCCGCAACCCTGTTGCTAGGCAGACATCACATGACATTATTTCACTTGCAACAAAATTCCTTAATTTACGACATAGGGCATTGTGAGGTGATTGTAAACTTTGTGGTGCAGGGTCCCGTTCCACAAGGCGATCGTAGTGCAACAACAGCAGTAAGTCTTATGTTAAAGTATGGGATTTACGATAAGCGGTACAATAGCTTAGTGTGCTATTGATTGGTATTAAATTAATAAATATCAACTTTTGATTTGTATGAATTATTAATCTGTTAAAATCAATTGGAGTAAGCTATGGATTGCGTACGTATCTGCCTATTCACACGCGACAGTGAAATTTAATAAAAAATAATGAACGGCAAATTATGAAAAACTTGTGAATAGTTCTGGTATTCCTTGAGAGCTCGTTTAGTATTCTGTGTACTTCTCTTGATCGTCCATGTTAAAAATCATGTGACAATGTTAATGAGTAACCATGGTAACGGTGACCGATAGATTGTGTAATTATCATGATAATGCTGTTGATAATAAAATGGTTTTATTTTTAGGAAACTTTGTGAAGATAATAGCATTCTTGTCATTGAATAATAGTGCCCATTTGTCCTGTTTATCAATACCCAAGACAGTCATGTTCGGTAAATGGTACCCCACAACTCCATGTAGACCTATAGTCTGGTAAATCAAAGCCTCTGAAATTATTCTTGATTGTATATATACTGTTCAACAATTTATAGGGATAATGAGATATTTCATACTTCTATGAAAATAGAAGACAACTTTGTTTAACCGATGTTTAATTACTTGAAGCGGAACAAGTAATCGGTCACAGTGAGTCTCCGGCTGGACCAGGGCTTTACCTTGACCTGCACAATTAGTGGTCAGGCGACCCAAAATACCGTATTCGACGTAATAAGCGCCCACGGCGACATTTGCTAATATATTGGCTGGTGGACCATCACAATTAGCACCCCTTCCGATTGATCAATGTACACAAGACTTATTTATTCGCGTATAATACGCACTCGTGTGTTATATGCACCCTTAGTTATGGGCTTATAAATTTTGGAAAAATATATCTGTCATACATAAACACTTCAGGCTGTCAGCATAAATCACAAAATCTATCTTTCAACTCTGTTTTTTCACCAAAATAAAATTCTAATAAGAGCCCCCTATTTCTAATTTTGAGAGCGCCCTGGGCGCTTATTACGTGGAATACGGTAATTCATTTTAAGGGTCCTTGCAGGAAATATGGGGGCCCTGTGATGTAATGAAACAGTGTTGAGTAGTGTACTGTAAGATTTGGTAATTACTTTAATTACCGAACCTATATATATTTTGTCAAGAATTGGGTACAATGAATATTATTGTGCATCCCTTGAGATGCAATGTATTTTTTTCTGCTTCCATTCTTTACATTTGTGCATACTGGACGCACATTTGTGCATCATGTTAAACCCTGACCTGGACACTCAGAATATCCTATCAAAAGTTGAGTAGGATGTTACCATTAGTGAAATGTGACTTTGTGAGTCTATGTTGTTTGGGAGATTGAGGATATGTTACTTCATTGTTCATATTAGTACATTTGAACAAGTCCTCCTTATAGCATGTTTATAAACATGTTTCATTTTGTATTGATTCATGACCTCATGATACAATACTTGTATCCTGGTAGTGTCCTCATTCACCAAAAGCTTTGCACCCTACCTCTTATTCTTTCTTTTGTTTATCTTTTCCATGTTTAGGAATTGCCCTTATGTTATGAGAACTGTTCAGTCCTAGATGAATTCTGTGATTCCACGATCGCGGAAAGAATTGCAGAAAATGTGACTTATTGCAGAAAAATCACGGAATTTGCCATTTTTTTTATCAATCAATACACTAATTAAAAATTATTTTCAAGCTCTAATTTGCTCTCGAATGAAGCCTTAACATTTAACATGCGATTCAAACATTAAATATATGAATCCTTCAATAAAAGAATATTTGAAATAAATAATTCTCATGTTTAAAAGTTCTTGTGGTATTATTACTAGATAAACTATGTCTATATGTAACAATTAATAAATATCAGTAACACTATGCATATGTATTTGCATAATTTTATACCTTGAAATGTCTAAATGCCACTTATGTTGATATTGCAAATGTTTGAATTAATTTTTGAAGGAGAAATGGTTATGTTTTTACGTCAGAATTGTGCAGATTTAACCACAGAACTTTGATAATTTTACCGCAGAATTGGTCTGGGAGTGACTGTTGTATTGTGTGCTGTGTCCAGTATGTATGCTAACATATGCTGACTGTTGTCTGTAGACAACTGATGGTGATGGACGAGACGTATGTCATCAACCAGGTAAAGGAAGATGTCTGCTATGTCGCCACCGACTTCTTCGCCGACATGAATGTGGCCAGGTAAGAAATATCAATTAGACTTCGATTGTTTGTTTTCAGAAGTCACCACAGTGTTAATGTCTGGTTTGTAGCTGTTTGATGCTGCAGGCAGCAATACTCCAGCTATATTACAGTGGCTGCTATATACCTGTGTCTGGACCAGACCAAACTAGTGTTCATATCATGAACAATGTCCTACGCCATCACGGTCTCACGCAATCAACCCCATGGCCAAGCCCTGACCACCAAATACTACCAACACTCCATTTATGACATGGGGGGCACGGGTGGCCCAGTCGTCGAAGGCGCCGCCATTCGCTGTGCAGAGTTGTGTCCCTTGGGCACGCCAGAAACCTATGATTGTGGATTCGAATTCTGGTTTGCCCCGATTATGTTTCTAGGTTTGTCAGCTCCATACCCATGCTCGTGGGTTTCATCGAAGTGGTAAACGTCTGAGACCTGCATCACGTCTGAGACCATGATGTAACTGGAATACTGTTAACAGCAGCGTTAAACCAAACTCACTCACTATTTATGACGCACGTTACTCCACGCGTAATACATGCTTGTAGTGCACGGAACACTCCAGCTGGGAGTGAGCATGGTTGTATGCCATTTTTAGCCCATATTCCAGCACTATCACGGAGGGGGACACCAGGAATGGGCTTCACACATTGTACCAATGTTCGGAATCGAACCCGGGCCTTCGGCATGACGAGCAAACACTTTGACCACTAGGCTACCCGACCGCCCCACTCCAGCTAGGAAAGCTAGCTTAAGGAGATGAGTCGACAAGTTCTGAACACAGAAAGTTTCTAATTTTTGCTGCGGCAAATGAAAAGGATCGATGAGCATAATTGACAGTTTTGGCTTTTAGAAGGCACTTAGTCGCCTGGTTGCTGGGGACAAGTCTGACCTGGAATCCACACAAGCGCAAAGTGTTAATGTACCTAGACATATTTAGCATGGGTGTTCTTAAATTCTTATTGTTGTCAAGGTTGGTTATTACCTGTTTATGTTAAAGTTGAGATATTCTCTGGTAACTGGGATAAGATTTGACTGTAACCGTGGTAACAGATCTGTTTAGTGTATTGCTGTACACATGGCCTCCTGCATGTTGCAGGAAGCGGGGAAAGGAGAACACCATTGCCCGAGACTATGTGCTGCCAGACTACACCCACATCAAGCGTGGCTATGTCCGCCCCCAGGAAGACACCACGGGCAAAGCCAAGGACAACGAACAGGTTGTCTTCTTCTTCTTCTGCTTCTTCTTCTTCTTCTTCTTCTTCTTCTTTTCTTATCTATTTATTTATTTATTTATTTATTACATTTTGGCAAAGTCATTTGTACGAGTTACTGACACTGTCCTAAATGATACAATATTCATATTCTGGAGAGAAAAACAAACCGTAGTCAACTAAAGTTTGTTTCAAGGCGTCAATAGCAGTTATCTGACCGTGGTTGCTGTAAATAACCGTGAGTTGTGCGATCTACCGATTACTTCACACACGATTATGCCAAATTTATATTTACACAATATTGAAAGAAATTTCGAATAAAATTAATGAAATACGTTACAAACATAAGTCTAGATATACAATGAACACTTTTTATAGCTAGACAGTGTAATTGCAAGATTACATTGCGTACTCCAGTACGGATTTGTTGACATGGTATTTCCAGTGTTACAAGCTCACGGTAATGTCTTTACGTTGGGTAAAAAAACATTGAAACTCATTGTGGCATGTATAATGCGCACCCCCTTCTACACAGCTGTGTTTTTTGGAAGAAAAGTGTGCACTATACTCAAGAAAATACAGTAGTTTTAAGATGGCCTTTATCGCAGTGATTCTTGACAAGCCATGATGACCGTACAATCCTGCACACATGCAGACACGCACACACAGCATGCGCAGATACAACATGCATTGTGTTTTCTTGTGCAGTTCGTATGTACATTTTTTAAAAGGCAGGTTGCAGTTAATGGCCCTTGGTTAAAATCCCGGAAAGTAAAAACGCCTCAAGCGTGGGGTTGAAAATGATGCTAGCAGGGATAAAAAACATAATACTTTTGGGGAGATTAAAAGATTCAAAAGGTGTTGCTTAATAATGTTAGGTTAAAAAATAGTGGCCATTTTGAATTTTTTACTTCCAGTTTATTTCCTGATGAAATTTACAATCATTTCCTGATCTGAGAAAATAGAATATTATTATGTTCGTTGGGTATTTCGTATGATGAACACTTCTGGCACCTAATCATATCTCAATGGAAAAAAAGCCCCAAACATGGTTTGGAACATATTGTAATGTTGAGTGACTCTTACTGTTTCAGTTAGTACGTATGAATAATGAGAGATTTGCTGTGCCGGAACTACTTTTCCATCCATCTGATGTAGGAATACAAGAAATGGGAATTCCAGAGGCTATAATCAACTCACTAGAACCAATACAAGAAGGTACAGTCTTGACATTTGATTGTTAATGTGTTTTATGGAGGCTCATCAGATTAATCAGCCTTAATGGTGCCCCGCTCTAAGAAGCGCTCACGGCAATATTTGCTGATATATTGGCTAGTGAACAATCCCAATTAGCACCCGTCCGATCGATCAATCTACACAAGACTTATTTATTCGTGTATAATACGCACTTGTGTGTTATATCACCCTTAATTATGGGCAATTAAATTCTGGAAAAATATATCTGTTGTACATAAACATTTCAGGCTGTCACCATAAACCATGAAATATATCTTTCAACTCTGTTTTTTGCACATAGGTAGGTCTAGTGGTAAGCCTTTTGATAGTCTGGGAATTTTTTAAATTTTAAATTTATTTTTTCGAGTTTCCATAGCAACAACTTAGACTGAAATCCTGGGAATGTTGAGTAGATCATGAGGTTACCCGAAATCTTTTCAAGGTTTCTTTAACATTTTGACCTTCAGCTTCGTTAAACAATTATCACATTTGTTCACTTCACTCCAAATGGTGTTGATCAGATCATATGTGGTTGATGTGGACTCAGGCCACTGTATTTCAGAGATGAAGCCACACCTACTTGGGAACATCCTCTTGACGGGGGGGAACTGTCACCTGCCAGGATTCGATGAGCGAATGTAAGTACACATGTACAAAGGCCCAGTGAATACATAGCTTCTTCACGAACTAAGGGAGTTAACTGAGTCTCAAAGTCCAGTTTCCACCCTTGCTGAACTAGGCTTGAATGCCTGGGTTTGATCGTAGCCCCACCAGTGGCTATTACGAGTTATGTCCCTTCTATGCCCCTCCTATTGACCAATCAAATTCCACCTCTCATATCACTTGCATTTGCTTCAAACAAAATGGAGGTGCCAAGGCAAGACAATCTGATCAATGATCAGGATATATAATGAAACGAAACGTGTCTTACTTCGCGAAGTGTATCAAATCACCTAAACACCTTCATTACGAACATGAAAACATTTGGAACATATCTTTCGACGCCCAGTTGGCGGTACACATCTTTTGCAAGTCCTGAAGTCGACTGAAATCTGCACGTTGACATCCATGTTGTATACGAACCAGATGTCGATTCAGTTACGGAATTATGACTGGATTATGTATGCATAGACTCGTTAGTCCAGCCAAGATATAACTCCTTAAATGCAGCCTAGTTTGGCAAGGATGGAAACTGGACTTTTACAGTCAGTTAACTCTCTTGCCTCGGGAAGATGATATGTACTTGCATGTTGCTGTAGCGTGTTATTTTTGTTTGGCATTAGCTGCACACTAATGACCCCTGGGGTTTACAGGTCAGTATAGGCCTTCAGTACCACATGTTGACCCACAAATATGTTTTACCTCAGGCATTTCTTGACCTATGTTTGATGACTCATTGCGTTCACAGTACCGGGTCATGTATACTCAGCGTCATTATAAAGGAGTCACCTGGGTAAGTAAGGTGTCAACCATGAACAATGCCAACAAGCGTCAATAGGTGTGCGTATGTCGTCAATATGATCAACAGTTGAAGACCAAACATGTTGTTTATGGTTTTCATTCTGATTGGATTTTTTTATGAAACTGGAAAAATGGCAATCTCATTAAAATCAGATCTTAGTTCTCGCTATCGCTAAACAAAGATCTGAGGACGTCCCATTATGGGTCACGTCAGAACGACCTTTCATCTGGCCAATCAAACGTCGCTTACCAGTACATGAAAGTGACAGTCGGAATGTGTTTTCTAATCATGCAACCTCGAAAACGTTAACACAGTGTATTCCAAACAACAGTTACGGTCCGTACGACTGATTCCGTAAAAAATTATTGTCTATCTCTCGCTTCCGTGTGATAAACATTTGAACGGAGGAGGCGTTGCACAGTATGTGTGAACCACTGCCATACAATCTCAACCATATATTAGACATTCCAGAATGTTCGTTTGTTCAGTTTTCAAAATTTTAATTGAGAACTGTGTCAACATATTTTTCAAGCACAGTCTGAAATGGAAGTCGCCAGGTTGAAACGAGTGCCGTAAAGCTTGAGAAAGCTGCTTTCTAATTGGCTCATGTTGACTTCTTGTCAGTCATTTCAGTGGTAGGTCAAAGTTCGCAAAAGGTCGTTCTGATGTGACCCATAATGGGATGTCCTCAGATCTTTGTTTAGTGGCAGCGAGAACTTAGATTTGATTTTAATGAGATTGGAAAAATGGACAACGGTTATTAAAAACAATAAAAGTGCAAGATTGAAGGAGGTGAAAAAAGCTACCCAAAATTCATGTCTGAACACAACCAGTGGTTTTGCCCATGCACAGGCAATGCATGACAAGCAAGTGTCAATGTTGGAATAAAATGGTGATATACTGAACTGCACTCTTAGAAGTTGAAAACGCGATGTATTATCTCTAATTATCTGTGTGTCCCCTCAATAATGAAAAACATGTCTACATAATTTTCAATTCCCTCCGTGGTGTAGTGGTGGAGCGAGCATCCGCCCATCATACCAAAAGACGTTAAAAGATGGTACTTGTTGTTACCTTGCCTGGCGCTCGGCATTGAGGGGCTAAAACAAGGACTAGTCGGCAATGAGTCATTATGTTGTGCTGAGTGGGGTATTCATGTTAAACTGCGGCATGATATCTCAGTGGGCTAGCACTATAAATCAACATCAGTCCGGACTAGTACAGGCACGCAGGCACGCACGCGCACACACACACACGTCACTATATAAGTGCAATAATCTGAGACTCACCTCACCTCATAATTTTCAAACAGTGACTTAAGGTAAAGTTGTTATGAAAGGTGTAAACATGGTTAATGAACTTATTGTTATAATGAGTATGCTTTGTACTTTCAGCTATAGTGATGTGCGGAAGTTGGCCCCTGACGAGTATGATGTAACAGTCACGATGCCAAAAAAGTAAGGACGATATTTAAGTAGACAAAATATTTATGGATAACAATTTCTTTATTATACTACAATAGCGATGTTTTAGAACAGATCCTTATACCGTTGTCAAGCAACTGTGTGTTATGTTGTTTCAGCCCAGCAGCGTATGCGTGGGAAGGTGGGTGCTTGCTGGCCAAGGATCCCAATTTCAGCAAGATGGTCGTCACCAAGCAGGAGTTTGACGAACATGGGCACAATATTTGTTATGAGAGATTTGATGTGTAATATTTGTGTAAATAAATGTATCATTTGTAATTATGATAGTTCTTTGTTATTGCGTGCATCAGTGTTGCAGTGATGATTGAAACACATTCAATAAAATTGTCATCAGTTTGGCAAAATTCTGTGGTATGAAATACTGTTGAAGCTCTCTAGTCCAAGACAAGTTTAAGAGTTGTGACAGCCTTAGCGATGCGTTCACTTTAGGAACAAAGGAGTCTTGTTACCACAAATACAACTGTAGTATCTTGTTTGTTTGTTTGTTGTTTAACGCCGCACTGAGCAGTATTCCAGCTATATGACGGCGGTCTGTAAATAATCAAGTCTGGACCAGACAATCCAGTGATTGACATCATGAGCATCGATCCACGCAATTGGGATACGATGACATGCATCAACCAAGTCAGTGAGCCTGACCACCCGATCCCGTTAGTCGCCTTTTATGCCACCATAATCGCCTTTTACGGCAAGAATGGGTTGCTGAAGACCTATTCTACCCCGGATCTTCACGAGTCTTCAACTGTAGTTCAACTGTAGTAACTTGGCGAAGAGGTCTGTCAGTCAAGGACCGGTAAAAATCTAGTTGTTTAATCCCCAAATCTAGTTATTTTACATAACTAGTACGATATGTGCTGCTGACTAGTTGAAAGTGACCAATGGTGTCTACATTGTATCCCAATTGCATGGATCGATGCTCATGAAGTCAAATCACTGGATTGTCTGTTCCAGACTCAATTATTGACAGACCGCCGTCATGTAGCTGAAATATTGCTGAGTGTGGCGTTAAACAACAAACAATGGTGTCTACCCCTGTTCTATGCATAGACATTGCCTAACAATAGTTGTAATAGGAAGAACCGGGCCCAACACCCTGTCGTCTAAGGCATGGGAATTTACAATGCAGAGTTATGACCCCAAGACGTGCCAGGATCTGCAGATTGTGGGTTTGAATCCCAGATTCCCATGGATTATCATCCTTGGTTTTGTCAGCACCACACCTTTGCTCATGGATTTGACCTGCATTCCTGTGGGCAGTCATACCGCATTAGGCTGACATGCAAGGATGTTATAAAAATACTGTTTGAAGCTGTGACAAACCTAATTCGCTCATTCTGTTAGGAACAGGGACCTGGACAGATGTAGTCTGGATACCTTATTCAACGTATTATGTGATAAGAAAATTGACAAAGGGGCACACTTATTAAAACCATATACAGGTTAATTATTATTTTTTGAGATTGGGTGGTTTGTTTGTTTGTTGTTTAACGCCGCACTCAGCAATATATGATGTGAATAATCAAGTCTGGACCAGACAATCCAGTGATTGACATCATGAGCATCAATCCACGCAATTGGGAAGATTTAGTGGCAGTTGAAAGGTTGATGAAACTAAATCTGTTTCAATAATAATTACAAGATAGTTTGGTAACCCTCCTGTGCTGCTGTTTTCTGTTAAAATATGCACAAGAAAATATTGGACTGTCATGTAACTTTTCTATCTCTGTAGGGATTCTATCAAAGATTACAGATTGGTCAAGATTATGGTAATCTTATTTCAGTCAATCAGACAAGGGGTCAACTAGCTGTTCATCCAGACAAATTGTAAGGGAACCATTTCATCAACATTCATATGAGCCATATATTATGTATATGGAGTATGTTTAATGTATATATCCCGAGTGGCTATTCTTTCTATTAGGAATGAAAGAAGATTTCTGAAGTGTCTAAAACAATTCAAACATTGCTGTTTTATTAGAGACACAGGGTTAAAAACATTCTTGGTTCAGCATCAGCAAATTGATACTTCACTGTATCATTTAATTTCTGCTTTAAGACAAATAATCAAAATTCTGATTCTCTGGAAGATTAATAATTACAATATTTTTCATAATCAGTTGTTTTTAATGTGAAAACGTGTGGTACATGGATATCATACGTTTTATTATTCATCTTATAGCCTAAACATGCTACCGGTAAATAAGAGGCTGTCACTCTGGAATGTTTCAGTGAAACTGGCAAGCAAATATTTCCTCTTCACCAGACTTCATGTAATTAAATTGTGACTGATACACACACAAAAAACATATTTGGATTTAACAGCTATATAAGATATTATTTTTATTTCATTGTGGTATTATTTATGGAGAATTTATAAGTAAAAACTTAAAGTAATAAACATTCATAATGCAAACCATTATTTGTGATTCGAACTCGCGGAAAGTGATGTGAGCTCGTAATAACAGTCTGTTTCAGAGTTATCTCCCTTCGGCTTCAGACAACGGACGCCATAAATATGTTGATGATTATTTCCCATCTTTGCGGTTAGAAGTTTGTTTGTTAAGGAAGTTGAGTAAATACAGGTATATTATTAACCCGCATGTATACATACATCGCACGACGGTGAATAATTTTGACAACATCATAAACGAATGTGACAACTGTTGAGCGATGGCGAAGTGAATCCGGCCAACGAGTCCCAGGTCAGTGTGTCCCCGGGGCGAGAACAAAAGTGACTCATTATTTCACTGGTACATATAAGCTTAGCTGCCTTATTCGACAGCATGATTGGCAGTTTTACTGTTGTAGCTTGCGTTTGAACTTAGCATTCTTTTACACTGTTGCGAATTGTGAATTCTGGAACGAAATTGACATAAACAGCAACAGACCACACGCGATCACACTCGACAGTTATGATGAAGAGCGACAGAAAGACGTCACAGTGTTGTCAAAATGGGTGAGAAACGTCAGCAGACGATCTGTTCTTTAATCTTCATGTATATCATCGGTCAACTAACAACCATCACCTTTCACCACAACTAACAATTGTATAGTGGTCGCACGAAGTTTTCTAACCCACTCAGCATGTTCTGTCATCCCATTGTTGTCGCAATGAAACAGCTGTTTCAAAGTTCGATATTGTCAATTGGTTATCCTGAGGTCAAGCCACATGTAATCTATTGATCAAAATCAGCACACATATATACTCTTCTAGGCCTAGTATGACAGCTAGTTTCAATGAAGCTAATTATCCCCGTGGTCATTATTATTGGCTAAACAAATGCAAAAACTAGCCTATTTATGACAAATAAACTGTGGTTCAGGATGGTTCATTACCAGGACATTGACTGATAATTATCCAAAATAGCCTAAAGGTTCCAGAATGTAATTATATCCGATTGAAAAAGGGCCAATCAAAAATTGATAAAATCATGAAAATTTCCCGATGCCTTTTGTTTCCAGCAAAGTCACTGCAGAGATGCCAATTGTCAATGATCATTATAATATTAAACTGTTATGTTTCATGATATTTGGCTACAGATGGCGTATGGTACAATGTACATGTATAGCCTGTCTCGCGTCCCTTAACCATATTAATTTGTCTTCCAACCAGCCCTTTCTGTAATGATTTTCCCAGGTAAAGGTCTGAGTCTCCCATGTCAATGGGGCACCTTTTCAGTTTAAATGGAGTTGTTTCTTTCTCTCAAAATTGTATTAATTGATTAAGCGTCAGTCTAAGTTCATGCAATGTGTTGGAGAGATGCCCTATTTTGCGTCATCTTTCGTTTAGACCGTTGTGGAGGTTGAGTTCTATTAGATGATTGGATGACACCCTAAGCTTTTTAATGTACATTCTGACAATGGCCCCTTTTCTTACATTCCAGATTTCAAACACTGTTCGTCATGTTCATTTTTCACTCATTTGTTGGAGAAGTTAATCGGGTAACAATGTGCTTTGTCACCATGGTCACAATTATGATATGATATAATATTTGTTTACCTCAGACATCAAGTGATAATGTGTAATGTGGCGTTGAAAGACTTGCATAAATTCCATCAGAAAATGATATTTTATTATTCATTTATCATATGAAATGCCATGTGTTCCTTATTCATGCATCATTTAGGAGATAAACATTTGGAAACAAATAGCATACAACTCATTTGATTGGCTAAGCAACTCGCATGCCGCGGCTCCACTGAAGAAAACTAAGTAAGCTTTGCAAAGGTTTCGTTCTACACCATTATAAGGTCATACTGCTCATTGTGACACAAAAGATATGACCTCACATTTGATAAAGAAAAGCACGTAATAGCAAGCTCCCTGTTGTACTCAAAACTTGAAATACATTCTCTTTGTAGATTTACATCACGTTTTGTGCATGATATGTACATTGCCATCCTTTGAATATGGTAGTAACTGCAAATTTGCATTTTGTATCCTATAATTGTACATATAATTATTTAAATATGCCACCTGACAATGGCTGTAAAAGAATTCTATTCTAAAAATATTAGCTTCCGCTGTGATGCGGCCTTCAAATTAGCTGGGGATTTTAAGTGATTTGAAACCTCTTATTAACCAATCAAAATCAAGTATTTCCCAAATTCATAGTAGAATGTATATTGACAACTCAGTAGTTGTGGCAAATATAAGGAGGAAGGAGTTACTATTTTCTATTTTTATTCTTGGGATGCATGGAATTGTAGAGAGCAAGTAGAATTGTAGAGAGCAAGTAGAATTGTAGAGAGTAAGTAGAATGGTAGAAAGTAAGTAGAATTGTAGAGAGTAAGTAGAATTATAGAGAGTAAGTAGAATGGTAGAGAGTAAGTAGAATGGTAGATTTGGAGAGAGCAAGTTGATTTGTAGAGACCAAGTAGAAAAAAATTGTAGAGAGCAAGTAGATTTGGAGAAAGCAAGTAGAATTTGAGAGAGTACCGGGTAAGTAGAATTGTAGAAAGCAAGTAGAAAACATTGAAGAGAGCAAATAGATTTGGAAAAGGCAAGCAGTGTTATGGAGAGCAAGTTCAATTGTAGAGATCAAGTGTAATTGTAGGGAGCAAATAGATGGGAACATTTGAACAACAAAACCTTTGTGCTCATACACTTCAGCACACTATTGAAAACATCTGCTCTTGTAGACTAATAATGCACTAATTTTACTCTCCGTGAGATCTGCAGTCAGTAAATTCCCAACTGTGAAAGGGCAATTGAAACTTGTTCGAAAGATCCAATCATACTCAATGATAAAGCAGAGGAATAGTTGATTGAATGACACACTGGTGAACAGTGAAATATGACACGTTACAGAATATTTAATCACATGAAACAGTCACTTCTAGATTAAGAGGGAGAACTGAGAGACAAATTGAGGATGTTACCAATATTTGTAAATGAGGATTTCTGTGTGTTCCCTAACTTAATGGATCTATTTTCACAATGGTCTGGTTAGTATTGTTTCAGTATGTATTGACATTTTGTTGTCACGATTATGCAATATTGATATAGCATGACAACAAAAAGACTGGGGATATCCTTTTTTCAGACAAGCCCAAAGCTCTTCATTTTTGTCATAACAACTGTCTGTTGAAGATCAGGTAGTTACTAGGGCTGTTACGATTCACCCACGTATTCAGTGAATCAAAATTGAATTCGTTAAATGGGGACCAATAGAATCAAATATTCATGAATATGCAGTCATAACCATTTACATACCCTGTATTTAAAAATATCCATAAGAACATATTACATGTAAATGCATAGATTTCTGGAAAGACAACACTCTTATAACATTTAATTTGACTGTAATGTGGTCACTGGTCATCGTTGCATTTGAGCAGATACTAGTGCCTGGATAAGTGCAGTATATAAATGTATAATATGTTAATAATTAACAAACCATGTCAAATAATTTGTGTTGCTTTTGTTTCACTGAATATAACAAATAATACATCAACTGCTGGCTCGTTATTGTATTCGTGAATTAATATTCGTATTCATTACTCTATATTCGTGATACGTATCGCATTCGCCTCAAAGTGTATTCGTTGCAGCCCTAGTCGTTACCCTACATTGTGCCACCTGGCTGAATGTGTGTCATTGTGAGCCTATGGAATGAAATGTTGTTGATGCTGTCAACCACTGTTCTGGCAAGACCGCCTCTGTGGTCCAGTGGATAGAGTGTATGCTCGGAGAGTGAAAGTTCGGGGTTCTATTCCCGTCCATGTTATACCAAAAGACATTAAAAGATGGTAATAGTTAGTAGTTACCCTACCTGGCGCTTGACATTAAGGGGATAAAACAAGGACTGGTCGTCTTGGAGTATGACACATACTTTATGATATTGTGGTGGCCATGATACATCTGGACTATTCTGACTACAGCATGAAACATTCACCAACTCAATCCCTAGCAAAATAGGCCCCTGTCACATGCAGTGTCAAAATGCTTGTTTTCATGGTCTCACAATTCAAATGAAAAACCTCTGAGCAGGTCTCACTTGAATGCATTACCTCTCACAAGGTTACTATGAGATAGGAATATATGTCAGAGCTACAGATAGGCAGCATATTTATACTTTCACTATTACAAGCTAATTAATTTACTTTATACATCTAAAACATTATTTCATTTTTTTTAAATTTTAGAATGTTCACTAATTTTGGGAAAAACCCAATAGAGTGATGAATAGATGAGTGAAAAGATATTGGTTACCCAATGAAAAATGTAATACCGTATTCGACGTAATAAGCGCCCCGCTCTAATAAGTGCCCACGGCGAGATTTGCTAATACTGGCTTGTGAACAATCCCAATTAGAGCCCCTTCCGACCCCTATTCGCATATAATACGCACTCGTGTGTTATATGCACCCTTTATTATTGGCAATGAAATTCTGGAAAAATATATCTGTCGAATATAAATATTTCAGGCTGTCAGCATAAACCACGAAATTTATCTTTCAACTCTGCTTTTTTTCTCCAAAATATTATTCTAATAAGAGCCCCCTATTTCTAGTTTTGAGAGCGCCCTGGGCGTTTATTACGTCGAATACGGTAACCCAATTAAAATAGAAACCCCAGTGTAAAAACTCAATTGCTCAAAAGTTATCTGGAGCTCTGTAGAAACAATACAATAGGCATATGTGGCAGTAGGCTTGTAATGGTCAAAACGAGGAATGTGATGGTCATATTGACTGAAGAATACAAACACTATATATACTTAGCTGACCAGTGACTACACTGCAAAACTGCTGTGATGACAAGTATCCTAATTACAGTACTGCAGGCTTGACCCAGATGCGTCCAATCCTTTACTCCGCTCCCTCACTAGCTTCTTGTTGGATAATACAAGACAGTGTTCGAAACAAAGTGAAACTCGGGGGATCCTTGTCATAACCCTAATGTTATACAGACAAAGTATGTTGAAGAGGTTTCTAGATTCAAATACACCAGCAAATCTAAAGGACGCCAGAACCTCCCTTAGCATAAAACACTGCAATCGATAACCTTTCAACAATAGATAGACATTATGTCTACTTGGGCTGAGACTAGTCCATATTTACTGTCCGCATACTCGACCCCCTATTACACGACCAGACTCGGGTACCCACTGTAGTTATCAAGAGTTGGGTACAAAATGTCCGATTGGGAATTGTTTTATCCCGACCCTGGCAAAAAAACTATTTAGATACATGTAAAGAAGATCTGATTAAACATGCATTGAAGTTTACTGAAGCTTTATCTTTCCTCAAAACATAAAAGTCAAAAGGAATGTGTGTATAGTCAGAAACTAATGCAAATATAAGCGACTCTTTGTGTAACCATGGAGTTTTATTATTTTCATTAAACAGTATGTCATGTGACTAACATGACAGTGGGTGCTCCACAAGATCCACCCAACCCTAGTGTATACCTTTAAAAGTGGTTGCAAAGGCTCCAGCTGTCCAGAATTAAAACTTCACATGATATCACAGCTGCACAATTGTAGCCATGTGCTGCTTTAAATTAATGTTAAAAAAAATATTGATCTGAAATATGTAGCTACGAATTGCTCGCACACTTCTACCTTGTACAGTGTCAAATATGTTTTTACAAGTAAGATTTATGTGCACATTGTAGAGTATCATGTACATCACAAACCATTTGCTTTTACATACACAAACCTGTTTTGATGAACAATGTATTATGTTGATAATAGATCATAACAGGAGCTGTAACCCAGAAAACACAAAAAGACCAGCTTTTCACTTTTTTAAGCCTTTGCAAACTGCATTCATTTCTAAACATAAAATACTAGAGTAATGCTTAGTCTCTGAAAATATATTATTTTGATAGAAACATGCAACTACACTTAAATTGAAAAGGAGCCAAAAGAAGGTGGGAGTTTGTGGAAAATGTAGACTTGCTTCATTTAGGACCAGAGCATCAGATCAAGGGCTTGGCAAAAGTGAAAATAATATGGTTCAGGGACTGTGAGACAGACTACAGTGACACTATCAGCCAGGTTTCAAGTTGTATAGCCTCTTGATCATGTTAATCACTAATCAGAATAACCATGTTCAGAAAAGATTTTGGACATGGAAATATTGTCATAATAGATATTTTTTTCTCCAAACTCCATTGTATCAGTATGGACTATGATTAATTTTGCATCCTGCATACAAATTTTCTTCATTGTGGAATTGAGCTTTAATGGTAGTAATAGTTCTGGCATAACTGTATTGAGGTTTGCTCAGTCAACTGGATCTAACAGCTTCAGTTGCAGATTTAATTAAAAACTGTTAAAATGAAGAGTCATAAATATTGTCTGTTGATGGTTCCATATTAGATCTGTCAGTGTTGTGGTCTTCATTGTAAGCCTGTGGTTATCCGGTGTTGTACTGATGGTGTAGAAGATGGTGCCATTCATTTCTCATGGTGGAATTTTCCTTCTGATCAAGGTTGGAGAGATGATTTATGAAATAAGTAAGTTTGTTTGTTGTTTAACGCCACACTCAGCAATATTCCAGCCATATGAAGGCGTTCTGCAAATATACCAATCTAGACCAGACAATCCAGTGATTGACATCATGATCATCGATCTTTGCAATTGGGATGCGATGACATGCATCAACCAAGTCAGTAAATTGTATGTATACAGATGTATTTGAGCACATATAAACAGTTTATTCTAAATGGACAGCACACAGGCAGTATCTTCAGCAAACGCTTCCAAACTAGTTGGCCCATCTGCAGTTGGTCTTCAGGAGTTAGAATCTGGCCTTTCTTTGTTTTTCCTGTACTTTGGGGATAGGGTAGTCTAGTTGTTAAAGCGTTCATCGTCCTGCCGAAGACCCGGGTTTAATTCCTCACATGGGTATAATGTGTGAAGCCCATTTCAGGTGTCCCCAGCAAGGATAATGCTGGAATATTGCTTCAAGCAGTGTAAAAACCATGCTCGCTCGCTCGCTCGCTCTCTCACTCACTCACTCACTCACTCACTCACTCACTCACTCACTCACTCACTCACTCACTCTGTTTACTTTGGGGCCAACTTGTCGCCTTCCTCATACTGCACTTGTAGTGTCGTGTTGGTCTTCTGTTCTAACTGGGGGCACGGGTGGTCCAGTCGTCTAATGAGCCGCAATTCGCGGTGCAGAGTTGTGCCCCTTGGGCACGCCAGAAACCTATGATTGTGGGTTCGAATCCCGGTTCGCCCCGATTATGTTTGTAGGTTTGTCAGCACCATACCCATGCTCGTGGGTTTCACCGAAGTGGTACACGTCTGAGACCTGCATCACTTCGGGCTTTCCTCCCACATTAAGCTGACACGCCGTGATATAACTGGAATATTGTTAAAAGCGGCGTTAAACCAAACTCACTCACTCACTCTGTTCTAACTTGTTCAGACCCAGTGTTCATTAGAAATCTGTGTCAGCTTTTTATTGTTGTGTCGTTTGTAGTATTGTTCAATAGAACAAGAATTATTGTCAGATTTGATATATGAATTTTTCACATTTCAAACCTAATTCAAATTCACAAGAAAAAAAGAAAGATGCTTTGTTAGTGTATCTCATCATATACTACAATTTACACTACACCTAAAACATTTTGTTAAAATATGGAATCGTAAATGGTTGTGTTGAGCTGTCTGATGAGATAATCGGATGAGACAGATCTAGATCAAGCACTGCATAGACTTTAGGGCTGGGACGGGTAACTTGGGTACTCGGGTCATATTGGTCCTGAGTAGGACCCGGGTACCCACAGGACTACCCGGACCCGTGGTCAGTCACATGATATGTTGTTTAATGACATAAATTATCTAAAACTCTATGGTTACACTATAACTATTTAGTCACTAATGTTCCCATTTCTTTCTGACAATACACCCATTCCTTCTGACTTGTATATGTTTGAATAAAGATCAAACTTCATGCAGTATACTTCAGTGTATGCATGACCATGTAGTTTTACACGTGTATCTGAATACATTTTGCCAAACTTTTCCAAATCAGACAGTTTGTACCTATCTCTAAATATCTACAGCGGGTACCCGGGTAGGGACGGGTAATAGGGTGGTCGGTACCCGGGTAGTAAATTTGGACTCGTCCCAGCCCTAATAGACTAATAGTCTGCGTGTTCTTTAGCTACGTCACAGTTAGACACTGATTTTCAGTATATTAGACTGTTCTTTTGATAATTGTAGCAATTATCCCTGTAGTTTATCCATATTCCCGATAGTTAATTCTGACTCGATCGCCAAATGACAAGTACGACGCCATGTTTGTTTATAAACACTGCAAGTAGTCCCTACTTGACCTTTGATATTTGCATCTCTATCCGCATATGACCCCAACGGATATCGTTTTTATCCGTTGGCTTTATCCTGCCGAGAAACCTACCCATTATATGATAAAAAGGGTTATGGTTGGTTGGTTTGTTGTTTTATGCCGCACTAAGCATTATTCCAGCTATATGACAGCGGTCTGTAAATAATCGAGTCTGGATCAGACAATCCAGTGAATGATATCATGAGCATCAATCCATGCAATTGGGATCGATGACATGCATCAACCAAGTCAGCAAGCCTGACCAACCGATCCCATTAGTCGCCTCTTACGACAAGCATAGTCACCTTTTACGGCAAGAATGGGTTGGTGAAGACCTATTCTATCCCGGATCTTCACGGGTCCAAAAGGGTTATGAAGAACTCAAAACCAAATACTGAAAAGAAAAAAAATTGAGAATCATATGAAGTATTAATGTCAGATTCAGATTATATTTTAATAAATGTCTGTTGACATTAAGAGGGCATGGTCTGTTTTCCTGGAGGTTAACATTAGAAGGGGTTTTAAATTCAACAAAACATATCCAAACTAATTTATTTTTTAGTCATGTTTAAAATGAGAAATAATGACTTTGACGTTCCTGTTGGTCCATGTGATCCATGTTTCTTCATTCCTTCCTTCCTCTTACTATCCCAGGAAACCTCTTCTGGCCTCCATTCAGTAAATCCCGCAAGATGGAGAGTCCTCCACCTAAACGTCATCATCCAGAGGTCAAGGACGAGGAGTTGAATAAGAAGCAAAATCTGACACTGGAGACGATCAAAGATGAGGCAGCGTTTGTGTCACGGTTTAGCGCTTTCTACAACAGCAGCTGCCTCAGCGACCTGGTGCTACGAGTGGGCAGGGACAGATACTACTCCCACAGGTTCATCCTCATCACAGCCAGTGATGTCTTCGAGTGAGTAGATTGGTAGGGGAACAATAAACATGTTTGTTTGTTTGTTTGCATGTTGTTTAACTCCGCACTCAGCAATATTCCAGCTACATGAGGGCGGTATGTAAATAATCAAGTCTGGACTAGACAATCCAGTGATCATAAGCATCGATCTACCCAATTGGGATATGATGACATGCATCAACCAATTCAGCAAGCCTGACCACCCGATCCCGTTAGTTGCCTCTTACGACAAGCATAGTCGCCTTTTACGGCAAGCATGGGTTGCTGAAGACCTATTCTACCCTGATCTTCACGGGTCCTATAAACATGAGGAGACTCAGTAGCCATTGTAATACAAGGTAGATCATACTGTCAGAAGGGCTTGTTCATATGCTTACAGTTCCTGTAAAGACTTGTCAGTGTTAGATTTAATGTTGACCTGTACTTGCAGAGCTATGTTGAACCAGAGGCAATGGGTGGAATCTCAGGAGCCGGAGATTGATCTGACAGAAGACCCAGAGTGCATCGCAGTGTTTGGGATGTTCCTCAAGTAGGTGCTAGCTCTCTCACAGGTAGATGATAACATGTGGTGATACAGGGTTGCATTAGTTCAGTCTCCAGTCCTAGTCCAGGGCTCATTTCAAACTGGAGGTTTGTATTATATCACTACAAAACAACTGATCCAACATGAATATCACTCGATGAGGTAGTGCAGCATACTCATTGACAAACAGATTGGTTTGTCTTGTTGATCTCATTTTTTCAACTCTGCATCTGTGTCGTTCGTTGTCCATCCTCAGACCATCCACTGAACCACCGAAGCTGAAACTTCAATTACTTGTTCGCATCCCAGTTTGTTCAAGAGTTTCATAGGGGTGGTCTGGTAGCCTAGTGGTTAAAGCGCTCGCTCGTCACGCCGAAGACCCAGGTTCGATTCCCGATATGGGTACAATATGTGAAGCCCATTTCTGGTGTCCCCTGCCGTGATATTGCTGGAATATTGCTAAAAGCGGCGTAAAACCATACTCACTCACTCAAGAGTTTCAAATCTGATTTTCAGTATGTGTTCCACCAAAGCCATATTGATAAATGATGACCATTTTCTTTGAAAATGTCATGAAATTTGGTATATGTGTACTTAGCATGCTAAGTAGTGGGCTCAATACATGTTCCGTATATTTTGCATTTTTTCCTCATGTGCCCTTTGCATTTTGACTAAAATTTTCTCTCAAAATGCATTTCTTTTCACTGTAGTCACATCTCCTCAGAAATCAATGGGCCAGTGTAGCTGAAACTTCACATACTTGTACCTACCAATTACACCTGAATTCATTCAAGATGTTCAAATCCGAATTTGCCTCTATAAACTTCTTCTCTGAAATTACCAGCCTGCGGCAGCTTAGCTTTGACATGTAGTTTCTCCTTATGATGATGTCATATTTTTTTTCAATTGCATCAGATTTAAGTGTTTGTGATAAATACTAACAACTCTTAAAAAATAAATAAAAGAATTGGTTCTCAGGCATTAGTTTTTGAAAATATAGTGCAGGCGGGCGGTGCCCTTTTGGAATTTCTTTGGTGCTCAAATTAGTATGCAAATAAACAGTTGTGTAACCAAATAAACAAATGTGTAAATCAACCGGGGAAAGGGCCTCCCTACATAAATGAATACCTTGATAAGTAAAATACTGGAATTCAGTGTTTGACTACCATTGGACTTGGAATATTTAAGCATTTTTTTATTTATTTTTTTAAAAATGGAAATAAAATTAATAAACGAAACATGCAGCAGACTTTATGATGCAGGTGGTGCGTGAGAACCAAGAGTATTATTTTTTTTAGCCTAACTATCAGTGGTTACAGCTTTTGTTCTGTTGCGAGAGGTACAGTGGCACTGTTTTAAAAAAAAAAAATTTTTAAATAATAGATAATTTTCATCTTTATGTTCTTTCTTACTGTTACATAGAACAGTGCTCTAAAGTGTATCGCTGTTGTGTTGTTTCAGATATCTCTACAGTGGCTCAGTCCAGGTGTCAACAGACACGGTCCTACCCATCCTCCTTCTGGCTGACAAATACAGCATCACCACCCTGCGTGAGTCCTGTATCGAATACATGACGCGACACATTGTTGAGTCTCCTGACACAAATCGAACACTAACATGGTACCAGTATGCCAAGATGACTGGACAGGAAAAATTGAAAGACATCTGTCAGAGATTCATCCTGTCCAATTTTGATGTTATTCTTGATGCACCGGACTGGCCTGAAATGACAAAGTCCGAGCTTGTCGAGTTCCTCAGCAGCTCCGAACTTGTTGTACTGAGTGAGATCCATTTGTGGAATAAAGTCGAGAAATGGCTGACCTGTGAAGAAAATCGTGATTCACTTGTAGAGAATCTCAAAGACATCTTGCCCCTGTTGAGATTTAACATGATCTTGCCCAAAAGTCTTTTGACTGTCGAATCGTCTCCTTTGTGTTCGAAATACACGGAACATTTTGCAGAAAAGCTGAATCACGCCTATCGGCACCATTCTCTCATGATGGATTGTGGGGATCTTTGTGAAAATCGAGAGCAGTTCAGGAACTATTATAGTAAAGATTACTACCTATGTTTTCCATTCAAGCTTGAGAATTATCCTGGCATCGGCAAGATAAGCAGCCGTATCATAGTAGAATGTCACGTCCCAACCCACTTCATGCCCTCCAATCAATCCCGAGCTTCTTGCACCGAATTCACTGCATACTTCTACCCTCGAGGTTTCTACAATACAATCACCTTATATGGCACATACATGAATCGTCAGAGTGATGCCACGACATTCAAACTGTGTCGAAAGTTTTCTGATCAAAATCCCGTGAAGGTCGATGTCGCCCTGGTGCTATATGGCCGAAAGAATTCTGTGAGGTATATCGCATACACCGTCAACATGAGTCATTTGTTTGGGAAGGAATCGTCAACCCTCACCGTTGAAAACATCATCGACTTGGACAAATTGATGCAGGACGATTCTCCGTACCTGATCGATGGAACCCTTGATGGGAAACTCTTCGTGAAAGTACAAGATATGGGACCACACTTGTTGGACGCTGATACCAAGTGACATGTTTCTACAAAACTGAAACCACACTTTTTGGATGTTATGTACATAAGGTTTGAAACACTGATGGCACATTTGTATGGGTATGGTCTGTGTCATATATACTTCACAGTGTCCATTCACTCGAAGTTGATTATCCTGGAAACAATTTTAACACTTTACACATGTTTTGATCATATTTACACTTTTGCAGAGAATTATGTTTACACAAATTTGACTTGTTTGATGTTAATCCTGAAACCTATTGAATAAATTCAGACTTGAATGTCCCCAAATTTTGCAGTGGAGAAAAAGGTTTTTTGAAATTGAACATTTTCATTCATATGGCATATGCCTGAACATGCTGAAAACAATCTTGTCAAATATGTCAAAATCATGAATGTATTTCAAAGTTGACAAAAACACTTGAGGTAAAGGGATATCATTAATATTCCCGGCATACAGTTTAGAAGCTGTGTAATCATGGTAACATCCAGGATTCTATCTTACCATTGTGCCTAGGGAAGTTTAACGAAAAAAACAGCAACAAAATTTGTGCCATGCTTGTTTATTAGTAAACAGCACAGGAACATATTGATGGAAAGGGCAATGGACAGAATTTTCTCCATATTTTGTATCCTTTCAATTTCATATCTGAGAAAACCTTCCAAACTTTACAATCACTGCTTTGAAATTAGAAACAAATTATATCTTTACACAATTTCTGGGTTTGAAAAGAAATATACGCTGCATAAACCAAACAAATAATATACATTGTATTTGCAAACTTGTAGTTTGGGGGACTTATTTTATAGCATTCGTTACAGGAAGTTTCAGCTTCCAAGGTTTTAAGTAATGTGAACTAAAGGTTATTTAGTGGATTGGAGAACATGTATGAACCCTGGTTGCTGTCTCCCTGGGCACATGTGGCATTGGTCCCTGAAGTTCAATGTTAACTTGATGAGCAATACATGTCAATGTTTAGGGTAGAATGCTACCTAATTATCATATATGCCACAAACACCTATGAACCATGCCTGCAACAGTTCCACCCTCTTGCCTTTGTCAACAAGTTGCTTCTTTCTTGAACATGTTGAACTGTCCATTGATTAGGGAGCATGTAAGTCAAACTTTTCATCTAGTGAACAATAGTGCCTTCATAGTCTTAATGGTTAAATGGATATTTTTTTTAACAGAACAGATGCACGTTTTGACTAACTTCTGGATGCTTTACATACCAAGCAGCGTGTGAAGATCTGGATTAGAATTGGTCTTCAGCAACCCATGCTTGTCGTGAGTGGCGACTACGGGATCGGAGGGGATCAGTCTTGTTAACTTGGTTGATGCATGTCCCCGTATCCCAATTGCGTAGATTGATGCTTAGGATCTCAATCACTGGATTGTCTGTTCCAGATTTGATTATTACCAACCGCTATCATATTGCTGGAATTTTGCTGATTGCAGCATTAAACAAGAAACAAACAAACATATCAAATGCTCTATGTGATAAGGCATTTCGCTGCTTAGGCAATTTACTTTTTAAGTTATGCATTGTTATTATTATTATTATGGTATGGTTTGAAATATTAGGTAATGTTGTCATAGTTTAGCCAAGGCTCCATAATTCTTTTGCTATGACTTTATAAACATGTTTTAAGGCTATCAATAGAAGTAATTGTATTTAGCAGTAAATTATTCTGTTTGAATGTATAACATATAACTATAATTGGCTATGAAGAGTTGTATCCCTTAGCTGCATCTGAATCTGCTGGCTATGTGCCCATATATATACCAGGTTTGCCCTGATTGTGATCCTTAGTCTGTCAACACCATACTCACATGCGGGTGGGTTGCCTTAATATAAGGCCTTAAGAAGCTTAAAGTCATAGTGACTTATATTTGGAATAAAACATTTTTAGTAAGACTTGCTGTCATGGAAACATTACCTCATGTGTTTTAGAGTTTTAGCATACTAGACACATGTCACGTAATAGGCGATGCCACAGGCTGGGAAGGTCATTGATTAGAGATGTCAATCTATCTATATCCTGATTAAGGACTGGTTCAACCCTTGTCAACTCACCTACTAACATTTGCTTGGTTTACTGATGCAATAGTTGGAGACACGGTGCATGCAAACATCAATATTTGATCAGTCAATAATAGCCACACCATAGGGTAGAAGCCTAATTGCCTATTAGTTAAGCATGCCTTGTGATATCAGTATAATGGTTGTGTTAGCATGTGTAATCCAAGCAATACTCTTGTAGGTGTGAATCTAGTCTTGCCATTCAAGATTATAAAAAAAAGAGCTATTTTTCAGATTCTTATTTGACTAGTCAGATAGCTTTATGATTTTGATGACTTGATTGCTTCTTGGGTGCCTATACCTGGATGTGACTGCAATAAAGCTGTTAAACATGTTAAATATTCTCAGTTATATGCTCGTAATGCTCACAACAATGTTTTGTCAAGTGACATTATTAAAGGACTATGTTCCAAGGTCTTGGGGTCATATCTAGTCGTATTGTAGTTCAGTGCCATGTGTAAAAGTCTGAGATGTTGTCTTGTGTAGGGTAACCATGGTAACCATGAAATGTGATATCATGTATATTGCTGTACATCATTATATCAAGTTAATAGACAAAGTATATTTATGAATTGTATTTTGTGGGTTTATTGAGTGCAAACCAGATTTTACGTATATACTTCCATGAATGCAAAATAATTTTGAAGACAATTCTTCAAAAACAGCTTATTTAATCATTAAGACAAACAAAAATTATACAAAATTAGTGGCATTGTTCAGTGTAATTATGTATCACAGGCCCTGCTCACTCTATTATCAGTCAATCAGGAAACGGGGGCACGGGTGGCCCAGTCGTCTAAGGCGCCGCGATTTGCTGTGCAGAGTTGCGTCCCTTGGGCAAGCCAGAAACCTATGATTGTGGGTTCGAATCCCGGTTCGCCCTGATTATGTTTCTAGGTTTGTCAGCACCATACCCGTGCTCGTGGGTTTCACCGAAGTGGTAAACGTCTGAGACCTGCATCACTTCGGGCTTTCCTCCCACATTAAGCTGACACACCGTGATATAACTGGAATAATGATAAAAGCGGCGTTAAACCCAACTCACTCACTCACTCAATCAGGAAACAGTAGTCCACTAGTCTTGTTGGGTTAGCCAATCAAATGCCATGGAATCACTTTTATACCTGGAATCGTGCAATTTATTTTTTTGATATACAAGAGTTCCCAATACACACAGCAGTTCCATTGGGTATGTATGACTAGCATAGGTACAGTTGTAGAAAATAATAAGAGGCATTATACATTGACAATAAATCAGTGATATTTACCAGTTATGAGCATTGGCAAGACAGAATCAAAAGAGAGTGCTGTGATATAGTGCTCTGCTTGTTTAAACCAATATTGCATTTCCCCAACCGACATGGTTCACTAATTTATGTATATTTATATTTCATAAAAGGTGCTTATTTAATATTTATTAATAATGACTCCACTTGTATATGAGAATCTTCCAGAGGAACATGAAATTGTTCTGCATGTGGATTTTGGATTCAGTCCAAAGTTAATTATGTTTTTGTGGCTTTTTGTCCATGACATTTGTAACAATGTTTTCAGATTTGTTTCTACAGCCCAGTGGGAAACATACTTCTTGAAATGTTCTAATTAAAACAGCATGCAATAGAGTGACTACAGAATGCAGTAGTTACACCAAGGCAAATTAAAGTAAAGAGAGCAGTGAGGTTGTTTTTTTAATAAATGTCAAGTATTCTTCCAGATTCTTTCATTACAACAGTAAACTACATCTTCCCAAGGCAAGGGAGTTAACTGACAATAAAAGTCACCGATCTAGGCTGGGATTTCTGGGCTCGCTCATAGCGCCATCAGTGGCTGTTATGAATATTGTCCCTTCTATGCCCCTCCTTTTGACCAATCACATTCCACCTCTCATATCACTTGCATTTGCTTTAAACAAAAGGCAGTGACCAGTTAAGACGATCTGATCGATAATAAAAATCTAATTGTGATAAAATCTTATTTCGCATAGTGCATCAAATTACTTGAACACCTTGATTAAAAACATGAAAAGATTTGTAAAATATATGTTGAGGCAGTGTTGGCGGTACACATGCTTTGCAAATCCTGCATGGCATTTTACAAACCAGATGCCTAGACTCGTTAGACCATCCAAAATATAACTCCATGATTCCAACCTAGTTCTTGAAAGTGGACTTTTATCGCCAGTTAACTCCCGTGCCTCTGGAAGATGTTTATAATTAATTCAAAGTGACTACTAATTTTAGTTCATTATAACTGTACTTCGTTATAAGCATATACACAGCAAATGGACAGGACCATTTGTTATAACCGTAAATTCGACCAATTCTGTCTTTTTATTTTCTGGTTTTTAAGACAAAGAATGGGCTCAAGTAGAAGATGATCAGTCATATAAGAATTCAAGATATCAAATTGAAAATGCATTTTCATATTAACAATGCTAATTGTTTTATTTCCCTGAAATGTTAGTGCATAACAAGTACGGGTATGAAATAATGACTACAGTTGTCTTTTCTTTCTTTTTTAAACTGGAATGGTACAAGCGATGGGGTGTCATCTAAAACATGGAATACAATTTTGAATGACATTTGTTTTCTTTATGCAGAGTACAATTGGACTTGAATGATATTTATTAACTATCTGTTGTTTTTCAAATGTTATCATGAATCTGTATGATGCTATTTTTAGGTTGCATATACATGTACATGTACATCACAAATTGCCTCTGACCAAGAAGGACTGGATAATTGTATTACTTATTTACACTGGTTTAATGATTGCATAATGTATTGTTTTCACATTTGCTAATGTGTATGTGTAGAACAGATTAAGCATTGTTTGCATCTCATTGCATTATTTATTCAGCATATTATTTAATAAAACTTCATATTTATCTTTGCACTGGATTGTTGATTCACTTTGGCCTCTGATGAATAGACCATAGTCACTGTTTGCCTGTTCTGTGGAAGGTCTGGGTTTCATACCCAACAAACCAGACATATAGCTACAATACTGATCCAGATGGTAATAATCCACACTCACTCACTCGTGATACTGCACTATGTATATTACTGTTAGAATAGGTCCCCATGGGGATGAGGCGACCAAATGGAAGGGTAGTCCGACCCAATTATTGCATATACTACCGAAATAGCATGGGACACTTCATTATGTCGATCACTGGTTTGTGTGGTCCAGCCTCGGATTACAGTCCATCACATAACTGGATTATTCTGATCGCGGCTTTAAACGAACATCGTGGAAAGACTATGTTGACAACAGCTTGAAACACTGGCTCACTCAGAGCTACGATCAACTCTAGCCGCACCCACATGGGTACTCGTTATTGTAAGCTTTAGTGTCACAGGCGTCTGTGGGGATTCCGGGCAGCCAGAGAGTCACACTTGCCCCATGCTCGTCAGAGGGGCCTACTAATGAGGACAGGGTGATGGCTGATTGTGTCTCCGCAACTGCATTTTAACTGTTCGTTGTGTAACCCGTTGCTAAGTTACTGCACAAATAGATAAAGAACTGAAGACGCAGCGTGACGATCAATCATACTTGTGAAGACAGTACTGATGACAGCGACCTGTGAAATATAAATGTGCAAGACAAACCAGTGATTCATACCAAACCTGACGGGAGCCAGTCAAAGTAGATATGGACAAAAATGGACTATCACGCTTATAACAACATTAATATAATAAATTTATTTGTGGGATGCATAAACTATATAACTCAATAATAATGAAACATTTATGTTAATGGTGACATTTCATATCCGACGCTGATCAATACGTGACGATCAGTCTTGATAGGAAATACTGACTACTATGTTTCAGCTTGACATGCCTGACAGGACTCTGCAGGTGTTAAGCAGGTAAAATACAGAGTGTGCGTTTCTCGGGATGCTTCCATAGGTTATCCTGGCCACTCTTCTTGACCTGAACAATTAAGAACATGTCAAGAAGTATTTAATAGTCAATTAATGTGGAGTACCATGGCTCGTGAGGCACGTTTTGTTCCGCTTGTCCAAAATAATAAACTAGTCAATTGTTAAAGTAGACACAATTCATGGACAACTACTTCTTTAGTTACTGTGAAAGCGACGTTTCGGTATAGATCTATGCCGAAACGTCGCCTTTACAGTAAATAACAAAATTGTCATCCATAAATCGTGTCTGTTTTTTCATCCGTAGACTTTTAAGTGATGTCTATCAAACAGTTACTCAATTGTTGTGATTAACATTGCTCGTATGACAATCTGGTGGAACAGTTCAGTTAAATAAGCATTGTATCGTTGTATATTAATCACCTGAGCTATAGTCTCGCAAAAACGACTTTAAAGAACTCGTAATAACGACTTTATTCATGCAATAACGACTTTAATGAATTCGTAATTACAACTTTATTCTCGTAATGACGAGTTTTGAAAAAAGATATTTTTTTAGCTGCGGTTTTGACCTCATTTGGCTTTATATGTTCCTCATAATAAAGAAGTTACATCCACAAATATTCTCCCTCTCTCTCTTATGTGTATCACTTCTAAATGCCATTGGAAGACTTGAACTGGGTTAGTTAAAAAATTCAGTATCCGTCTATTTATTGAACCTTTTTTCAAAGTATCGATAACTGATAACAAAACCCAAATGCGTTTTAGTTTCATCGGTTGGATTTGCTACTTGTTCATATTTATATAAAAAAAAGGTGAAAAACAGCTTTATTATTTGTACATATTATATGTTTGCGTAGAGAACATCGATATAGTCAATGTGTGTACCTATTGAAAAGGGAAAATAATAGTGTTCTTATAGTCATATTATTCAACTATGTGCTCGTGCGTATCAAAGACTAAACTGTAGGAAAGTTTTGATTGGTCTGCCTGGCCCCTGACGCAAATGATTAATATAGGTAAACATAGTATTCTAATAAGAGCCCCTATTTCTAATTTTGAGAGCGTCCGGGGGCTTATTACGTCGAATACGGTACTAACTTAATAATTACATTTGTGCATCAGGTTTTCAAACTGAATTGAAAAAGTAACACTATACTTTAGCATCTGAAACGATAGAAAACACGGAGGACATTATATGCGTGTTCATGTCATACGACACGAGTGTCTAAATTCCGGTATTTCCCGAGCGATGGGGATATACCGGAATTTAGGCACGAGTAAACATAGTATGACATGAACTCGAATATATGTTATATTCTTTACCGCATGAGACGTCTACATACAGACACACGTTTAAGTGTTTATTTATAATGACAGCAAGTCGCAACAGGAGCGGAACCACAACTTGTCGAATGACGTCAACAATCTTCAGCTATGACGTCGTTTCTAGTGTGACGTCATTCCGACCCCGATATGTTTAACTTACATAAGAAATTAGACCCCTTCTCCGATTTACTCGCCGACTCTGATTGGTAGGCGCAGTTAACTTATTGTGAAAACACTATATACACTTTGAAGTTTTTAGTACTTTCACTCAGTTTAAGCTGAAACTGTATTTAAGAGGTCAAACATGGTGCTGTCAGATCACAATTATTCATAGTGGCCTTTCGATGTGTTGCATGCGAGAAGAATGTCAGAAAAAATCAACATGCTGTATCATGTGATCGGTAACTTTGATGTCAGTGTTGACAGCAATTCAATTCCGAGTTGAGGTATTAATATTGTTGTTATAACTGATTGGTGTAATTGTTCTCGGTAATTTACAATAAGCTCTCAATTACATGTTGAATAGTTTATTGTTACAGTAGAGTAATTGAACGTATTATGTTTTAGGTAAAGGAACAAGCTGTTGAAAAACATCTACAAATCGGGCGCCAGGATCGTTGAAGATGCTCAACAGAGACTCGTCGACCCTGACCAGGCTGGTGGACGCCAAAACCACTCAACCCTCATTCGCATGGCGAACTGAACCCGGGAACTGTTGCGCCCCAAAGAGCCGAGGACATTGGACTTCGAGGTACAAATAATAATAAAATAAACTACATAATGCTATTGTATAAATTCTCGGAATAGCCGCAATTTTGTAACAGAACGAATATTGTATTTTAACTTTTATTCATATTTTCAGATTGCCGAGGACTTCTTACCTGTCCGTGTAAATACATCACATACATCCAATAACATGTAAATAAACCATATATATTACTACAAAAATCGTTCTTATCATTATTAAAAATAGAGGTGCCGTTTTCGCCCGACACATAGTAGCCGTTTTCGCCAAATGCAATGCCGTTTTCGCCAGAGAAATCGGTGACGTTTTGCTGAGGTGCCGTTTTAGCCTGCACCCATCGTAGGAAATAAATAGAGGATATTATATGAGTGTTCATGTCATACTATGTTTATGACACGAGTATCTTAATACCGATATTTCCCGAGCGAGAGCAAATAAAAACAAATAACATTGAAAAACTGTCGGCGTTGCTTTCAAAATTTATATTAACGTGAAAAGACGAATTGGTAATTTGGTGACAAACACTTGCCGACGTAGATAACTATTGGTGGTACGCAAAGATGAATCGATAACAGAGTTACCTCCCTCTTCACATGACAGTGTATCATCATTCTCAAACAAGATGTCGGCTTCAACCAATCGACGAAATCAGGTGCTTATTATTCGCTTAATATTTGTTAAACAATATTTATCTGCATTTATCTTCCATTTAATTACATTATTTGACTGGACTAAGGCAACGGAGGTGTGTTTCATACGATTCTGTGAATGAAAACATTCTATTTCCGTGTTGTCTGGTGCTATTTTTTTCTAAATTGTTTACGCAACTTTACAACTTGTAGACCTGTGTCATTATTTTAAAACGATTGTTTTCTTAATGTTACCCATAATATAGTCAAAAGGTGTTAAATTGCGCATTTTATCTGGCGCAGTAACGTCGTCGCGCTCATTCTAAAATGACACTCACTTCACCATGTTGACTAATCTAATCGCACGTCTCCGATGTCAAAGTATCTTTTCCTTTTGCTTGGGCTCCAATTTCATGGATGGAGTATTCGGTTATAATGTAAACAAATGTCTCTACTCACTACTACTAAAAATACTGTTACGAATAAAGCTTATGTTAATAATCATTGATAATAACGGCCATTATTTGCAGATGGCATTATCGTATTATGGGTTTTCGGATGCTTAAGTTTGGATCCAAACATTCATAATTCGCTTGCTAATCACATGAACAACCGTAAAACATCTCACTTATAGTCTGGAAGGTAATTTAAGGTACCGACGTTTACTACAATATCTGAAAAACTATTGGACCTACTCCAGTCAAAGTTGGTATGAGATTATTAAACAGTCATACATAACTGGATATTACATTTAAAGACAATCGGTGCATGAATAAAAAATCTGTCTATTTAGCTATCACTATATTTCATCAACAACCAGACATCAATACAGCATATACAGAAAATGGACGGGATCAAAACACATTTTGTTATATCTGTCAGTTTGTAAAAAGCGTGTTCGTTATAAACGTAGTTTACTGTATATTACTTATGTTGTGAAAGATTTCATGTATTTAAGAAATAAACGCCGAGTGGGAGTTGTTTATCATACAATAGAACACTGCAGGGAGAACTAACCGAGAGGGGCACAGACAAGAGTGGTTTATTCTCCCTTTTGTGTTTTATTGTATGATAAACATCAACATTAACATCAACAGAGATATCAACATTATGTACAGCCTCTTAAGGATGTTGATAAACTGTACAAGTTTTTAAAATACCTAGAATCTACCCAAATTTGGATAATGATGACTCCCTGAATAGGCCTCAGAAATGTCAGACATTTCCATTTTATGAACAGGTGGGTTAAATATTGTATTTCCCACATTTTCTCACAATCCTCACATCAACTATGTGTACCTCTTCTCCTAATACTGATTGCCATATCTCCTACTTTTGGATGTGATCGTTCGGCCACTGCGTTTATCTGCATAGCCCAGCTACATCTATAGGGAACACATGTCTAGACACTTCCCTCTGAAAACTAACCACGTCAAATATATGACGTCATCAAGTTGCTAGTGCATTTTCAAATCACCAGAAATGACGTCATGATAAAACAATGTTTTATCGCAAAAAAACAACATGTTTGGTTCTTCATTGTTCTTTGCGATTGATTGTGTAGCCATCTCATACATCTTTATGAGGACTTGTTGCGTGGTAATGTTATATACCGTATTCAACGTAATAAGCGCCCAGGGCGCTCTCAAAATTAGAAATAGGGGGCTCTTATTAGAATGTTATTTTGGTGAAAAATACAGAGTTTATGTACGACAGATATATTTTTCCAGAATTAAATGCCCATAATTAAGGGTGCATATAACACACGAGTGTGTATTATACGCAAATAAATAAGTCTTGTGTACATTGATCAATCGGAAGGGGTGCTAATTGGGATTGTTCACTAGCCAATATCTTAGCAAATGTCGCTGTTGGCGCTTATTAGAGCGGGGCGCTTATTACGTAGAATACTGTACTCCTTGAGGAGTCTACGATCAGAATGGGTCCGAAATACCTCTAAAATGGGTGTCAAACTTTTGAATCTACTAGCCGGAAAAAGGTATTTTGGCAATATTTTCAGTGTAGATTAGTCTCACTCTTAGTTTATGGACTAGTATTGCGTGATCTTACTAGACCAGAAGAAAGACTCAGGCTTTGGACCAGTGGTTAAAGTCACGTAATGCTCGCTGACTTGACCTGTAGTGTGTCATGGTACGCCAATTGTACAATGAACGACTGATCTGCGGAGCTTTCTCTTTTTTTTCCTTCATATATTTACACCACACTCAGCAATAGTTGAGGTATATGATGGTGGTTTGCAAATCATCGATGTACCACTGCTCTTAAAGTTACTCAATATCTTTTTATCCCCCGTCCCAACAAAATTGGTGGGGGATATAGAAATGGGTTTCGTCCTTGCGTGTGTGTGTGTTAAATATTTCTCTACAAAACTTTGCATATCTACCAGGCACATAGTGAACTGATGCCTTTTGCTATTTAGTAATTTTAGAAAAAAATTGTTTATGTTTCCAGGGCAACAAGTTGGACCTAGGTTCTATAAGGGTGGCGTTCGTTTCCGGAGCATAACTAAAAACCGTTAAATACTTTCTTACAAAACTTTGCATGTTTACACAAAAAATTTTTTTTACGTTTCCATGGCAACAAGTTGGACTTAAAAAACAATAAGGGTAGGTTTCGATTTCGGATAAATTTTTCCACATCTATCAGACACATGCTGAATTGTTGCCTTTTGCTATTTATGAATTTTAGAAATTTGTATTACTGGGCATTATTTCCAGAAATATTTCCTTGCCAAACATTGCCTGTCTATATATAAAGCACATACTGAACTGGTGCCATTTGATATTAGGGAGTTTTAGAAATGGTTTGTTTAGAATTTCCATTGTTAGCTATTTTGACATGGGCTAAGAGAAATGTTGGGTCAGTTACCTGGTTTCGGACCATAACATATTAAAATGGACGGGGGATATAGATGACTTGGTCGACTATACACTGGTTATCCCCCGCCAAACAAAGTTGGCGGGGGATATAGAAACGGGCTCCGTCCGTCCGTCACATTTCGTTTCCGGAGCATCACTCAGAAACTGTTCAATATTTATTTCATGAAACTTTGCAGGTCTGTCAGGTACATGCTGTACTGGTGCCTTTTGCTATTTAGAAATTTTAGAAATTTTTATTTTTTACGTTTCCATGGCAACAAGATGGACTTAGGTTCTGTGAGGGTAGGGTTCGTTTCCGGAGCATAACTCATAAACCGTTCAATATTTTTTCATGTAACTTTGCAGGTTTGTCAGGTACATGCTGAACTGGTGCCTTTTGCTATTTAGAAATTTTAGAATTTTTTTTTTTTTTTACGTTTCCATGACAAGTTCCACCTCGGTTAAAAAAGGTTAGGGTTTGATTAGATTTAATTATGTCATAAATTCTGCAACAGTGGGTGGGGGTGGGGGGTGATATAGCCACGTTAGTGGCAAACTTTTGTTATTTTCCAGTCTATGTTAGTTCATAATCTTTTGCCCAGAATAAGATCCCTAATCCTTAGTTTAACAGTTGTGTTAATTTCTCCTGTATTGTCCCGCTGAATAGGATAACTGGGATAGGATAGTTTATTGGACATTTATTGGACTATCTCTGCAATAACTTTATAGAGAGGTTCAGACATTGCATTTTGGACACCAGTAGACCCAGAGGCCGATTTGGGAAAAAACCATTCAGGTAACACAGTACCAATCACAAAGTAAACAAAACTCTTGATCATGATGATAGAGAGACGGACACAGATTGACACAGAAGGTGTCTGAACAATGGGATTTGGGGTGGGTTAGATAGGTGCTTCCCATGACATCCTGCTTCTGCGACTGCCACCGTAAATATTATGTTTATTCATATTTCAATCATGTTCGGTCGTCTGCTACAGGTGATGGTTGGGGATCTCCCCACTGACTTCCTGCGTATCTCGGGGCAACCCACACAGATGATGGAGGACGAGAGGATAGCCCAGATCCTGCAGGCTCAGCAGCAAGCAGGGGTGGGGATGATGCCTGCCAACATAGTTGGCAGACTCAGCATTACTGTCGTTCAGGTAGGTCTGGCCTCACTCTGGCAAGTGTGGGTTCGAACCCCGGACGGGACTCAACCCAAAAAAGTACAAGAATCTGTACTTTACTAAGAATGTGTTATCCCAAATATAACATTTGTTACATTTGACCACTTTCTAAATGGCATGCTCGTTGCTATTAGGGTTGCCACTCATGTTCTTAATCCTTCTAATACAATTTTATCTGACCTCAATCACATTCTAAATTCAGAGAATTTTCCTTTACCTTCTGGATGGCGATATCTAATGCCACATCTTTGAACAAACAGGTTATAAAGATCTTTTATCCCTGCAAGTATTCGGCTTTTAGATGGTTGTTTCTGATGCGGTACATTTCGTTAAATATTCCATGCTGTTTTTCAGTGCTGTTTCTGTGTGTATCGCTATATGTGTTTTCACGTGTATCTTATCATATATGACATTTACTTATGCACTTTCACATGTAAAAGGAATTCCCTGTGGGTTATACAGTATTGTCATTGTCACAGTACATGGCTTGTTTGACCTTCAGGCCAAGCTGGCGAAGAACTACGGTCTGACCAAGATGGACCCCTACTGCAGAATCAGACTGGGGCACACGGTGTTTGAGACGCCCACAGCTTGTAATGGCGCAAAAAATCCCAGATGGAACAAGACTGTGCAGACGTAAGGAGCTTGCATCAGGCTTGCTGTGGCAGGAAAAGCTTTTGTTAACATGAATTAAATATTGAATCGATCTGAGGCATATGCATTCCCCTTCTTCCCGAGGCAAGAGAGTTAACTGAATATAAAAGTCCAGTTTCGACCCTTGCCGAACTAGGCTTGAATTTCTGGGCTCAATCATAGCGCCACCTGTGGCTATTAAGAGTTACGTCCCTTCCATGTCTCTCCTATTGACCAATCAGATTCCACCTCTAATGTCGCTTGCATTTGCTTCAAGCTAAATGGTGCCACCCAGTCAAGACAATCTGACAGATAAGCAAGATCTAAATTGTAATAAAACGGGTCTTGCCTCACGAAGTGCATCAAATCAGTTTAAGAACTGGATGTTGATTTCGTTATGTGATTTTGATTGGACTATGCATAGACTTGTTAATCCAGTCAAGATATCACTCCATAATTCCAGGCTCTTTTGGCAAGAGTGGAAACTGGACTTTTATAGTCAATTACCCCCCCTTGCCTCAGGAAAATGCTGCATTCCCATCCTACCATATGTTTGGAAAATACTCCATACTGATTGGTGAAACAGAGGTTTATAATCACAATCACCACTGATTGATGAATGATATGTTTGTCCCCTGAATACCCTCTTTCAATGAAATGACAGGGGATTAGATGGTCACAATGTCTGTTGTCAGTGATAAATACTTTATGGGTGGTCATTGGCCAGAAGCAAGTCAATGTTTAGTGGGCGAGCTGTTGGTCATTGTATCCAATGGCATGAGTATTGCACACAGCATCACCCGCTGGTTTGTCTGGCCCAAGCTTACCTTCTCTAAGAGCTGATGTGAGATAGCACTTCTACTTGTGACCGCATCATATTAGTAACTTGTATTTACGATACCTTTATGGAGCGCCTCCATGGTCTAGTGGAGTCACTATACTGTGTCTGAGTGGGATATTCATGTCAAACTGCGGCATGGTATCTCAGTGGGCTAGCACTATAAATCAGCATTAGTCCGGACTAGTTCAAGCAGCCACGCACACACACACACACGTGCATGTTATATAAGTGCAATAATCTTGGACGTAACGTTAAACACCATGATACCTTTATGCAAAAATGTTGAACAATGATTGGTTTTCATATGTTGTGTAGTCAAGTTTCAATTGGTGCAGGAGTAAAGAAGTGCAGCTGGCAAAACAAAAGGAACAGTGACACCCCTTCTGTTTACAGTTGGATATTTATATTAAACCATTTAGATCTGAAAAATACACGCAGTGAAACCTTTTTATTCCGGACTGTGCTAATCCAGAAAACCGTCCAGATGATCACTGTCTGAAACATTTTACTATAGTTAGGCTAAAAACAAATAATAGTCTTGGTTCTCAGGCACCGCATGTTTCGTTTTTATTTCCATTTTCTAAACAAAAAATAATTCAAAATCCTTAAATAGTCAAAGTCCAGTGGTAGTCAAACACTGTATTCCAGTATTTTACTTATCAGGGTATACATTTATGTAGGGAGGCCCTTTCCCTGGTTCATTTACACAATTGTTTATTTGGTTACATACTAATTTTAACAACCAAAAAAGAATAAGAAAAAGACACTGCCTGCCCGCACTATATTTTCAAAAACTAATGCCTGAGAACCAATTCTTTTATTTTTTTAAGCCTTAAAGGGATTAGTGCCTTATTCCAAAAGCGATCTTAGTGCTATGTTGATCGTAAGGCTATGATAAAGTATGTGAGTTACGTCCAACTTAGCACTAAGATTGCTTTGTGGAACGGGTTCCAGGTATATATCTAGGATTCCAAACTAAGTGCCTTTCGCAGGCAAATTTGGAATCTTCTTCAAAAGGATTTTTTTAATGTTCTTGTTTTCGTAAATTCTGAGGTATTGGGAATTTGTGTGTGCAAATGGAATTTTTACTGTCAGTTACTTCAGACTCAGGGCCAAAAATCAACCATTGACCAGGGCCCACTTGCACAAAACAATCTTTGGGCTACAATGATTGTAACTCCCATACTTTAACATAGGCTTACGATAGTCGTAGCGCTAAGATTGCTTTGTGCAAGTGGTCCCAGGTCTAATGGCTCCATGGGGATCCTTTTTTTAATATGATTCATGTTTCACTAATTCAGAGAGTGAGTGAGTGAGTTGATTTGGTTTTACACCGCTTTAAGCAATATTCCAGCAATATCACGGCGGGGGACACCAGAAATGGGCTTCACACATTGTACCCATGTCGGGAATCGAACCCTGGTCTTTGGCGTGACGAGCAAACGCTTTAACCACTAGGCTACACGACCGCCCCTCACTAATTCAGAGATTTGTTGATGTGGACAATTACAACTGGAGCGGAACTGTCCAGATAAATGAGGTTTCACTGTCTTAATACTGATCAGCTGACACCCTTTACATCTGATCACTCACCCCATGCTTGACTGGCCCCATGTGCCGCCGGGGCACAAGATCTGCTTAGAGTTATCTTCCCTTGGTTGGACAAGGAAGCAGGTCGTGATTGATGACTCTGTTGCTCTATGTTTAGGTATCTCCCAAATGGAGTGGATTCGATGTATATCGAGATCTTTGATGAGGTAAGACAGTTTACCAGTTGCTCTTTGAACATGAATGTTTTGAATTATTTGAATAGTCTATTGTGTCCATTGTGTCCATTATAATGAGGTGTGTCCAACACTTGGTACATTTGCCATAATGAACATATGTAAGATGGTACCCTATATTATCGTGTTAGTTAATTAAGGATTGACTGTGTATTTTTTTCGGTTCATTGAGATATGAATTGAAAACCCGATGTGCAAACTGTCTGAATCCGGTTTCAAAGGGTAGTTTGGACAATGAATATGCATGAAAGTCGCTAAATGTCCTGTGCATGACAATACACTTGAGCAGAAAGGGAATTCCCTCAACTGTAACATTGGGATTCCCTGACATTCTGCAATAATAAAAGTAGTGATGTGATGTGATACGGGTGGATTATGTGGTTTACATCACTTCCTGTTTTGGATTATGCATACGGCTAAGGTTGGGTCAGGTGACTTAGTCTAAACAAATGGGTTCTTTTCTAACCAATTTTCGAATGAAGGTAGGGGTAATTCCACTTCAAAAACCCTCCAGAAACTATCATAAAAATAGTTAACATGTATACTTGCAAGTAGCTGTGACATACTGCAATGAGTCCTGTATTCGATCAACCAATCATGCCAATGAAATATTGTGCTTTGAATTGCATAAGGAATCAGTTGACAGGGTGTGTGGATTAGAGATTTAGTGATACCACAACAATAGAGCCTGCGATAACTTAGAGTCATACTATCATTGTGGATTTATCAAGGATTCCAAACTAACTGCCCTTGGCAGACAAATTGGGAAAAGTTAATTTGTTCCAAATTTGGGATTTTCTTAAAAAGTCCTTATTTTCGTAAGTTAGGTGTAACTTGACATTTCATTCAATCTCATTAAAATCAGACCTTAGTTCTCGCTACCGCTAAACAAAGATCTGAAGACATCCCATTAGGGGTCACGTCAGAACGACCTTTCATCCGACCAATCAGAGCGTCGCTTACCAGATCATGAAAGTGACAGTCGGAATGTGATTTTTAATCATGCAACCTCGAAAACTTTAACACAGGGTATTCAGAACGATAGTTAAGGGTTTAACGACTGAATCCATATAATCTAGACCATCTATCAGCCATTCTAGAATGTTCTTTTGTTTAGGTTTCAAATTTGTAATCGAGAATTTGTCAAAATATGTTTCGAAGCGTAGTTGCCAATTTGAAATTAGTGCCGTAAAGCACGAGAAACCTGCCTTCTGATTGGTTATTCCATTGGTCGGTCAAAGTTTTCGCAAGGTCGGTCTGACGTGACCCGTAATAGGATGTCCTCAGATCTTTGTTTAGCGGTAGCGAGAACTAAGATCTGATTTTAATGAGATTGCATTTCATTCAAAGCAAAAATGTAAAATTAAACATGACAGCCTCTCCTTGTTCATTGGTCATGTTGTCAGAGAATGCAGAGCAATAACATTAGTCTTTACCATAATAACAGGACTTGGCAAATATTTAATTCCAATTTGGGAATTGTTACTGACATTTACTTCAAACTTCGGGGCAAATATCGGCAGGTCTCAATGCATTCATGATAATGCTGTGGGTCTTTGACTGAGTGTATTGTAGGCAGTCTATACTCATTGAATACATCTTTGTAGATCAACCCACAAGCTCTTGTTGTAATGACTGTCTTTAGGGATTTATCTGGGATTCCACACTTGGCGCCCACGGCAAGCAAATATGGGGAAAAGTGTTATATCATTCGAAATTGGGATTTTATAAAACTTAGTGTTTTCTCAAAGTTCAGAGGTCTTTTAACATTGTGTATTAACATTCAGTAATGTAAAACTAAGCATTAAGGCCTTCTATATTTGTCCTCATATCACTAAAATACAAGTTGACCAGACCAAGCCTTCACATTAGATAGAGACCCGTGAAGACTATGCTTGTCGTAAAAGGCGACTAACGGGATCGGGTGGTCAGGCTCGCTGACTTGGTTGATACATGTCATCGATCCCAATTGCATGGATCGATGCTCATGCTGTCAATCACTGTATTGTCTGGTCCAGACTCGATTATTTACAGACCGCCGTCATATAGCCGGAATATTGCTGAGTGTGGCGTTAAACAACAAACAAACAAACAAACATTAGATAGAACTATATTAACATGATTTGGAATGTTCGAATTCCAGTTTTGGAATTTATACTGACATTTGCTGCAGACTTAGGGACGAATACTGGCCTCTGTGTAGGGTTAGATCAATCCCTGAGCTTGTTCATTTTGACATAACGACATTTTGACATACCGACATTTTGACATTTTTGTTTACCCTTCAACCTGTCCAACATCAATAGGCAACAACTTTGAAATTTCTTTATGATGCCCAAGATTTCATTATCTTGTGTTAAAATGAGCCTTACCTCAAATTGAAATTTTAAAAATGTTTTCCTATCCCACACTATGGATTTCTCATTCTTCTTTCCATCCTAAGTGGAAACGTGCCTAAACAAAGGTTTCCAGCTTCTTAAAAAACAATCTACTGAAACTCATCTAGCACCACAGGTCATGTGAGATAGGATAAGTAGATCAATAACATTTCTCAAAGCTTATCTTGTATGTTTTTCAGGAATTCAACTCTGACAAAATTTGTTTGTTTGGGGTTTGCCTTTGCCTCTTGGCATATATATCTACAAAAAAAACTGTGTAAAACAGTGTCAAAAGACAACAAAGAATAACGTCTGTGTTTTTCAACAGAGGTCCTTCACGGTGGATGACCGGATTGCATGGGCCCACGTCACTATCCCGGCATCGTCCCTGAATGGCGAAACTTCGGATGATTGGTATCCTCTGAGTGGTCGCCAAGGAGACGAGAAGGAGGGAATGATCAACCTTGTGATGAGCTTCACAGTAAGTAACTTCAACCTGGTTCAGTGGGGCAGAGTTGCGTCCGTTGGACACAGCAGAATCCTACGATCCTGGGTTCAAATCCTGGTTCGCCCTGGTTATGTTTCTAGGTTTGTCAGCACCATACCCGTGCTCGTGGGTTTCACCAAAGTGGTAAACGTCTGAGACCTGCATCACTTCAGGCTTTTCTCCCAAGCTGACACTCAGTCATGCATTCAACATGGTTCAGTGGTCTACTAATCAAATTCAAAGATGTGTCCACAAAGATGAAAAAGTGTTTGTTTAAGAATTGACTTCAATAGTTTTCTGTTTTGATGGAGGTACAAACGTAAAAACTAGTGTGCAGAACGGTTTTAAATGTTAAAACATAGTGAGGTCAATTCTTGAATAAATACTTATAGCTTTTTTAACCATTAGCATAAAAAAACCTGAAGACAACCATACGAAATCTGTGACATCAATCAGTGCAAGCCCCATCACTTCTATTATCAGCAATTCAGGAAACAGAAGTCCATCAGTTGGTGTTGCCTGATTCTTTTTTGGTTTATTCCAAAAATTGCTTCATCAGCCAATTATTTTTTGTTTGTTGTTTAACTCCACACTCAGCAGTATTCCAGCTATATGATGGTAACTTGTTTGATAGGCATTTAGAAGTTGGAGTACTAAGTAAGGATAAGAAATTTATGGATGAACAACTTCTTTATTACAATTAAGAGCGACGTTTCGGTGTAGGTTCTAACACCGTTATCAAGCAAGTGATTATACAGAGTGCAGTAAGCAAGTATATATACACGTAAGAGGCAATGTTTACACAGTAGGGTGGATATTGTTATACTGGGGTAGAGAAGCCTGTTGTGTACACACAAGGGCAGTGATGATAACCATCGGTTGTTCATCCATAAATTTCTTATCCTTACTTATATGATGGTAGTCTGTAAATAATCAAGTCTGGACCAGACAATCCAGTGATTGACATCATGAACATCGATCCATGCAATTAAGATACAATTCAAAGACATTCATTCCTTTCACAATTTAGTTGTAGTCACCTTTTCATACATCCCAGCTTCGGACCAACAGACAAGCAAAGGTGTTATCAACATCCCATGCAATAACATTATTTATTGCCTACGAGGGCAAACATATCGGGGTACATAAAAATCATATGTTCCCTAGGGTCATATCACATCACGCAATGACTGTGTATTATTTCCGTCATCCGAACAGCATTGTTGGCGTCATATGAATCTTATTGTGATGTGAGGTCGCAATGATGTCACTCTCTTTAAACGACGTTATAGCTGTAGATTGTTGACGTCATTCGACAAATTGTGGTTCCACTGCTGTTGCGACTTGCTGTCATAGGTACACACTAAAATTCGTCTCTGTATGTAGACATCCATCTTCCCGAGGCAAGAGAGTTAACTGACTTTAATAGTCCAGTTTCCACCCTTGCCGAACTGGGCTGGAATTACTGGGCTCGATTGTAGCGCCACCAGTGGCTATTACCAATCATGTCCCTTCTAAGCCTCTCCTATGAACCAGTCAGATTCCACCTGTCGTATCACTTCCGTTTGCTTCACACAAAATGGTGGCGCCCAGTCAGGACGATCGGATCGATAATAAAACGGGTCTTACATCGTGAAATGCATCAAATCACATCTGCACTTTGATTAAAAACATGAAAAGATTTGGAAAATATCTGCTGACAACGAGTTGGCTCACATGCTTTGCAAATCCTTCAATCGACCGAAATCTGCATGACAGTTTTTGATTTCGGTGAGCGATTTTGATTGGACTATGCATAGACTCGTTAGTCAAGCCAAAATGTTACTCCATAATACCAGCCTAGTTTAGGCAAGGGTGGAAACTGGACTTTTATAGTCAGTTAACTCTCTTGCCTTGGGAAGATGGTAGTTGTTTTCTTTGCTAATAAATAGAACATACTATGTTTACGACACTCGTGCCTAAATTCCGGTATTTCCCACACTCTCGCTCGTGAAATACCAGAATTTAGGCACGAGTGTCGTAAACATAGTATGACATGAACACTCATATACTATGCTCTTTAAAACTGTATTAATAATAAAATGATGTAAGGCAAGGTGTTTGGTAGATGGGGAAGTGATGTAAATCTATTTATAAACACTTCACTTTGGGCTTTCCCCTCACGTTAAGGTGACATAAGGTGGAATACTTTTCAAAGCGGCTTTAAATCAAACTCACTCACTCATTCACCCACGCACTGACTATTGATAAGCTCATTATGGCAATAGTGATATACCTGTACCATGAGACTGTTTGTCCTTCAGGCTGCGGCAGATATGCCGGCATCAGCGTTCACGTATGCGCCCCCCACGTTCCAGACAGTTCCCGCTATGATGCCTATGTACTACCCAGCAGTACAGCCTGTCGGTGAGTAGGAGAGAAACAATTCCACATGTAGCATTCGTGTAGAAAGATATCAACTGCCGCAATATGTGCAACATTCCTTTTTTTTGTGATATTTAGCAATGCTTACACCTACTTATGTTTGTTGTCTTTTGTGCGAGATATTGTGAGACGGGGGCACAGGTGGCAATTCGCTGTGCAGAGTAGCGTCCCTTTGGCACGCCAGAAACCTATGATTGTGGGTTTGAATCCCGGTTCGCCCCGATTATGTTTCTAGGTTTGTCAGCACCATACCCGTACTTGTGGGTTTCACTGAAGTGGTAAAAGTCTGAGACCTGCATCACTTCGGGCTTTCCTCCCACATTAAGCTGACACTCTGCGATATGACTGTAATACTGTTTCAAGCGGCGTTAAATCCAACTCACTCACTCACTATTGTGAGACATTTTCATTAGGTTGACAGTCAGACAGTCTGTTAAGTCTACTGGTCTGGACAGTATTTTTGTATTATTTTCAGTACAATTAGTATATGCCCTCGTGGAAGATAATCTTTCTAGACCAGAAGAGATTTAAATAGACTCATCTTCGGACTTGTGGCTTAGCTCAGAGACTGGGTTCATGTCTGGATGCATTGTGTTTGCCTGTACTTATAAGCTTATTTGACAAGAATACCAAGAACAGGGACACCTTCATAACAATTGTAAACCAAATAGGAAAGACTTGCACAGTACCTTGAGAAGCACTAAGTCCAACTTATAGTTTCTTTATTTTTAACTTATCCTGGGCCCCGTTCCACAAATCGATCTTAGCGCTACGAACATCGTAAGCCTATGTTAAAGTATGGGAGTTACGATCATCTTAGCGCTTATATCGCTTTGTGGAACGGGGCCCTGCATTACATATTGCACATTGCTCTTACTACAGAGTCCTAACTGGAAATGAATGATGATCTATCAGCGTATCTCTTTTGCCCAACATGACATCCGTGACATCTGACACACCCCTTTATGTCATTATGTTCTTCTTCACTACCTATGAAGGATGTGAGAGATGATCTCTTATGTGATTTCGAAGAATCTATCCTTTCATGCTTGTCTTTCAAACTGTATTGATTTTGGTTGACCGATGGGACAAGATGGGACAAGATCGGCCCCCAATTGGTCCACCAGGGGCAAGTTCTACGAGGCCTACGCAAAGCAGCACAAGACCTCACAGGCAGGGGATGGCTCAACATCAGACTGCTACAACTGTTTCTGGCACCTTGCATAAGGAGCCTGCAATTACATTACCTGTACTGGTGGTTGGTCCCATTGAACGCCTTAGAAGGCGTCTCCTTGACAGACTTCAAGGCGTCCCATCACCTCTTCGTAGACGCCTCACTCCAAGGATGGGGAGCGTACAGGATGGGGAGCCTACGTCTTCCATAAGACAGCGGCAGAGCTATGGTCTCCGGAACAAACACAGTGGCACATCAACAATCTGGAACTAGAAGCAGTTCAACATTGGGCTCACCAACTGACCATCGCCAGGTTGATGATCACCACGGACAACTCGACGATTGCGTTGTTGCTCAAGACAGGAAGCTGTCAATGATACTGGAGTTACCGGCTAGGTCACGGAGGTCATATAGGTCATGTTAGGAAAAAGAGTACAGAAGACGCTACTAGATCATCATTCATTTCCAGTTAGGTCTTCAGGGTTCTCTAGGAACTTTCTGACATGGACCCTTTATGTGAAAATTTCAAATAGTCCAGAGTTACGCCCATACAGCGCAATGTTAAAATGCCCCATTGTATTTGAAAATGTGGGCCTTTTTTCAAATTAAGGGGCTAAAAGCACAAGGCTCCACCCTAGAATTATCCCTGTTCCTTAGTATGAGGAATTTGCAATATGTAATTCAGGATAAGTATATATAACAGACATAACACTCTGAATATGTAATGTTTATTGGGTGCATTTATTATGTGATTCATGCAATGTGTGGTGAACCTGGCGCGTTCAGTTTCATGATCAACAGTACTCTTGCTTTTTCTTTAGTTGTTGGAGTTGCACCAGGGATGCAGCCCGGTGTGCAGCCGGGGATGGTGTACCCACAGCAGATGGTGCAGCAGCAGCAGCAGCAGCAACAGCAACGAGGACCTTTGTACACAGAACAGGACCTCCAACAGGTCAAGGACATGTTCCCAAATATGGAAGACGAGGTGGTGAAATCGGTGTTTGAGGCGAACCGCGGCAACAAGGATGCAACCATCAACTCACTGCTGTCCATGAATTCAGACTAACTGGAAACATGTAACATACTTAAAACATTCTGGATGACCATAATATGAGGTTCGCCTTCAGGACCAATCAATGTTCCAAATAATTCACATTAATTAGAAAACACAAATTGTGCTATGAGTCTTTCAAGGGCTACAGTTATCTGAAAGCCCTGTGCTGTTGTCCATGAATTTGATATTTCCAGCCTCAGGGGACGCCAGTCTTCATGGCTCCCTATCTTTATGCTTCATTTGTGTATGATCGAATGAACAATTTTTTCAATTTTCAAATTTTGCATGAGCAAGCATTGTTTGAAACCAATGATGTAACTCAAGGCATCCTTGTCACTACCCTTTTGTTAAAGGTTAAAGATTTTGGAGGATCCTGGATTAATGTACTATGTGAGCAAACTTCGAGCACCCAAAAACCCTCTTTTATTTGGAACACTGAACAAGCATTTAATTGTATATATCTATTTTGAGTCCATAGTCTCTGCTATTACTATTTCCAATTTTGGTTTGGGATCATGCTGAATCGAGTACTGAATGTGTATTTTTGACAAAGCATCCTATCTGTTTGTAACACTTTGTAGAAGGACTTAACAGGTTGTGGAAAGACTTAAGATAGCTTGAATGTCCGATTTATTTTGATTAAGCAGCAAATGAAATGAACACTTGATGACTACCTTTAAGTATCCAATTATTTTATTCAAGATACAAAGGATACAAATACTCCTTCCTTCAGTATTCGTAATTGAATTGTGAGTTCATTCTTTTTTCCAACGGGGCGGTCGGGTAGCCTAGTGGTTAAAGCGTTGGCTCGTCACGCCAAAGACTCGGGTTTCGATTCCCGACATGGGTACAATGTGTGAAGTCCATTTCTGGTGTCCCCCGCCGAGATATTGCTGGAATATTGCTAAAAGCGGCGTTAAACCATACTCACTCACTCACTTTTTTCGGACACAAAGTATGATAAAAATAGGCATCAGAAATGATGACATAAGAACTCTTATAACTATGAAGCATCGTTTACTTTTAATGTTGAAAGTTGATTTCGGAAAGAGATGGCCAGTGTTAACATGAGTACGTTAATTTAATTTGATTTTCTTAGAAGATTTTCTTAGAAGATATTCTATGTGGGATTACTATTTGTTCAGTAGTTCATTTTTATCTTGTATTTACCCTTTGTTTCGAAATGGAGACTAACCTTCTGGGCAAATGTCATTGAAAATTTGGAAAGTTTCTGAACCAATTTTATATGGTGTGATGTTAAAGTGCGATATCTCTCAATTGTAAATACATATATGCATATTTTCTGCTTTAACTGTCTACTTAGTTGATGAGTATTAGAGTTTAATCAAAAATACGAAAACTCCATTGGCCTGTATATATTATAATATGATCACATGATTAATACACCTGTAACATTACACTTTGTCACAAGACATCTTGATGGTAAGGCTCTCATATGAGCACAAGACTGCAATACACATGCTCATGGGTTAATATACTACAGTGGCTTTTTCTCCCACATCGAGCTGCCATGGTAACTAAAATACTGTACAAAGCATCTTCCTGAGGCCAGGGAGTTAACTGACTATAAAAGTCCAGTTTCCATACAGAGTTGTGCCCCTTAGAAATGCCAAATACCTATGATTGTGGGTTCGATTCACGGTTTGCCCCAATTATGTTTCTAGGTTTGTACTGGCATTCCTCCCACAGTAAGCTGACGTGACATGATATAACTGGAATACTGTTCAAAGTGGCGTTAAACCCACTCACTGACACTCTCTCATACCAACAGACTAGTTTCTTATACACGTACCTGCATGCCTGCCGTCAAAGGTGACTATGCTTGCCGTCAAAGGTGACTATGCTTGCCGTCAAAGGTGACTATGCTTGCCGTCAAAGGTGACTATGCTTGCCATCAAAGGTGACTATACTTGCCGTAAAAGGTGACTATGCTTGCCGTCAAAGGTGACTGTGCTTGTCGTAAAAGGTGACTATGCTTGCCGTCAAAGGTGACTATGCTTGCCGTAAAAGGTGACTATGCTTGTCGTATAAGGCGACTAATGGGATCGGGTGGCCATGCTCGCTGACTTGGTTGATGCATGTCATCGATCCCAATTGTGTGGATCGATGCTCATGATGTCAATCAGGTCCAGACTCGATTATTTACAGACTGCCATCATATAGCTGGAATACTGCTGAGTGCGGTGTAAAACAAAAAGCAAACATGTATCCATGTGTTTGTATTGTATCGATACATGACCTAATGATGTACTGCTCATATTGTGGCACAATGCATCATGATGCACCATTGTGGGAGGACTAGTTGCAGCCCTTGTGACTTTGTATATCCTTTGCTAACCCCATAGACAAATATGTAAAGATGTTAACATCAAACATTAGGTGAGAAAGCTTGTCTAAAGACAGTAGGAACATACCCAGATAATATATATCCTTGCGCAGTGATACTTGCCATTGGGGTCAAAGACTGAGCATAGCATGTGGTTATGTGTGTAGTGGGAAAATGTAATTAGAGAGGCGCACAAGACTGAATGCTTTTGTAAGGGCATGCTTGACACAGTTGCTAAGTGCCCCAATTCGCTGTGCAGAGTTGCACCCCTCAGGCATGCCAGGAACCTATTACCACAGGTGTTGAGTTCAGATTGGTTCTCAGTGGGCACGGGTGACACGGCAGTTCGCTGTGCAGAGTTGCATCCCTTGGGCACGTCAGAAACCTATGATTGTGGGTTGGAAGCCCTGTTCGCCCAGATTATGTTTCTAGGTTGTCAGCACCTTACCTGTGCTCGTGGGTTTCACCGAAGTGGTAAACATCTGAGACCTGCATCACTTCAAGCTTTCCTCCCGCATTAAGCTGACATGTCGTGATATAACTGGAATACTGTTAAAAGCGACGTTAAACCAAACTCACTCACTCACTCACTCACTCAGATTGGTTCTGATTGATTCTTGGTTCTTCAGCATCATACCCAAGGGTTCACCCAAGAGGTAAACGTTCGACATGCAGCACTTTGGGATTTCCTCCTACTCCGAGCTTACACGCTGTGATGTAACTGAACCCGATACACAGCAGTGTTGAACCAATCTCACTCACACGCTGAATGTCTCCAGGAAGTGTAATGGGTCTGCATCCACTTCGCATCCAATATCAATTTCCCTTTTAAGAACGATGCAACCTTTTGCTGACTAACGAAAAAGAAGAAGATTGTTTTGTTGAGCTGTGTTATAACTTGGCAGCAGATGCTCCAGATGGTTAGGGGTCACCACAGACTGGGATATGATATGCCATTGAGGTGTGTTCTGCTTCAGGCATATTTCTCATAGCCTTATATATTTAAAAAAAATATGAAACATCAACGCCTGTTGACAGACAGACAGACAGACAGACAATTTATTCAATAAAAGGCCACTGGCCCAAAATACATGCATATGCAGGAATACATAAAGCTTGCGCAAAATGACATTTACAAACTGGGAAAATTTACATTATTTACATTTAAAAAAAATATTTTTTAACACCTGTTGATTATCCAATGAAACAGATTCCACTTGACGTAAAAGTCAAAATAGCAGTGCACATTGTATGAATGGATCACTGACAGTCAGTATGGACACAAGGTGTTCACGAAAAGGGTCTTTCCGGCATTGATGAATACATTTTCACTTTGAGCCTGCACATTTTACGAGAATTTTTTTCCAAAAAATAAAAGAAATTATGTGCATGAGTGTACACCGTAACTATGTGTAAGAGAAAATGTCTGTATTTCGGAAGTGGGTTCCTACATCGTGTTGTGTGTTACTGTTCGATTGATGTATTAACCACAGATGTTGTGGTTATCCCTGACCTGTTTCTGTGGTAAGTCAAAGTGAAAAGATTGTCAGTTTGACTGGTTTATGTGACGTAAATTGAAGAATTTATTCTGCACTGGGAATGGAGTCGTTATTTCTCATACTACTTAAGCATGCTGAGAAAGATTTATGCCAAACAAGTGGACAAACCAAATGGTAATCTGATAAACCAATGAAATAATATTTGGAAAGATATATCAGCTTGAATCTTGATTTGCTACACCAGTATTTTGTCTAAAATTGTATGAATATTATTTTAAAAAATTATGGTTTTCAATGATGTAATTTATTGTATTCTTTCCAGTTGCCAATGTGATTAAGCTGTTGATGCCAATGAAAGCATCTGTGGTCTAAAACAGTTGTATGATCTCCATAGGTTTCCTCCTGCACAGTTCCTGTTCATGTCTAGTGTACAGGATGTGTAGCCAATCATAGTAATCAGTTGCTTTGCTGTATAGTGTTCTGTCTGCCAGGCGTTTTAGTGGGGATATTCATTTATCAAGATTAATTTCATGTTTGTTCCTCTTGGTGCAATTATCATATATCCAATCATTATTTGGGAAATATTATGTAATGTTATTAAGTATATCCTTTGATCATTTCTTAGGACAGATAATGCAATCCATCTGGCCAAGAAAATGTTTGTTTCGGGTACATTGCCATTGGTTAATGATAATCTTGATTATTGTAATATATTTACAGTGATGAACTTAGTTTTTACTTTTCATGCAAAGAGTAAGTTATATTTATAACAAACTGATTTGCAAGTTCAAAAAGTTTGTTTGAAATTGAGTTTACTGGATAATATTTTGCCGTACTTGTTAGGAAACGGTGTTTTTGGGTGCATTTGGACATGATGTATTGTTGAAGATCTTATTTGTTTGCTGTTATCAACACTTGTCCTGTGTGAGAGCTTCGTTAACTTAACCTCTGCACACTGCTGATGTACTAATCGTTTTTTCCCTGTACAGTAATATGATGATGTCAAAATAAATATCCATGTTGATGTTTGTTTTCTGTATTTTGTGTATTGTAATCTTAAGTTACGGGGAGGGGGGGTGGGGGGTGGGGGATGGGGTGGTGTATGTTGTGGTCCACCGTATGTTATTGCAGAAAGATTTTAACCCCATCTAGATAGCGGCCTGTACAGAGAAGAAAAGTGGATAAAACAGGATCCAGAGTTTCATCAACTTCCTTCATAGGAAAGATCTGTGGATGAAACAGGATCAGTAGATATGCTGGCCTGGCCGTCCTTTATAGGGGAAGACCTGGGGATGAAACAGGATCAGTAGATCTGCTGGCTTGGCCATCTTTTATAGGGGAAGGTCCGTGGATGAAACAAAATCAGTACATATGCTGGCTTGGACCTCCTTTATAGGGGAAGACCTGTGGGTGAATCAGGATCAGTAGATATGCTGGCCTGGCGGCCTTTACAGGGGTGATCTGTGGATGAAACAGTGGATGCATAGGTCCGCTTGTCTGGCCGTCCTTTATAGGGAGACCTGTGGATGAAACAGGATCAGTAGATCTGCTGGCCAGGCCATCCTTTCTGGGAAGATCTGTGGATGCATAGGTCCGCTTGCCTGGCCGTCCTTTATAGGGAGACCTGTGGATGAAACAGGATCAGTAGATCTGCTGGCCAGGCCATCCTTTATAGGGGTGATCTGTGGATGAAACCGTGGATGCATAGGTCTGTTGGCCTGGCCGTCCTTTATAGGGACCATCCGTGGATTAAACAGTGGATGCATAGGTCTGTTGGCCTGGCCGTCCTTTATAGGGACCATCCGTGGATGAAACAGTGGATGCATAGGTCTGTTGGCCTGGCCGTCCTTTATAGGGACCATCCGTAGATTAAACAGTGGATGCATAGGTCTGTTGGCCTGGCCGTCCTTTATAGGGACCATCCGTAGATGAAACAATGGATGCATAGGTCTGCTGGTCTGGCCGTAATTTATGGGGAGACCTGTGGATGAAACAGGATCAGTAGATATGCTGGCCTGGCCGTCCTTTATAGGGGTGATCTGTGGATGAAACAGGATCAATAGATCTGCTGGCTTGGCCGTCCTTTATAGGGGAAGATCTGTGGATGAAACAGGATCATTAGATCTGCTGGCTTGGCCGTCCTTTATAGGGGAAGATCTGCTGGCCAGGCCGTCCTTTATAGGGAAAACCTATGGATGAAACAGGATCAATAGATCTGCTGGCTTGGCCGTCCTTTATAGGGGAAGATCTGCTGGCCTGGCCGTCCTTTATAGGGGAAGACCTGTGGATGAAACAGGATCAGTAGATCTGCTGGCTTGGTCGTCTTTTATAGGGGAAGATCTGTGGATGAAACAGGATAATTAGATCTGCTGGCTTGGCCGTCCTTTATAGGGGAAGATTTGTGGATGAAACAGGATCAGTAGATCTGCTGGCTTGGCCGTCCTTTATAGGGGAAGATCTGCTGGCCAGGCCGTCCTTTATAGGGAAAACCTATGGATGAAACAGGATCAATAGATCTGCTGGCTTGGCCGTCCTTTATAGGGAAGATCTGCTGGCCTGGCCGTCCTTTATAGGGGAAGACCTGTGGGTGAAACAGGATCAGTAGATCTGCTGGCTTGGCCGTCTTTTATAGGGGAAGATCTGTGGATGAAACAGGATCATTAGATCTGCTGGCTTGGCCGTCCTTTATAGGGGAAGATCTGCTGGCCTGGCCGTCCTTTATAGGGGAAGACCTGTGGATGAAACAGGATCATTAGATCTGCTGGCTTGGCCGTCCTTTATAGGGGAAGATCTGTGGATGAAACAGGATCAGTAGATCTGCTGGCTTGGCCGTCCTTTATAGGGGAAGATCTGCTGGCCAGGCCGTCCTTTATAGGGGAAGATCTGCTGGCCTGGCCGTCCTTTATAGGGGAAGACCTGTGGATGAAACAGGATCAGTAGATCTGCTGGCTTGGACGTCTTTTATAGGGGATGATCTGTGGATGAAACAGGATCAATATATCTGCTGGCTTGGCCGTCTTTTATAGGGAAGATCTGCTGGCCTGGCCGTCCTTTATAGGGGAAGACCTGTGGATGAAACGTCTAAGACCTGCATCGCTTCGGGCTTTCCTCCCACATCAAACTGACACGCCGTGATATAACTGGAATACTGTTAAAAGCGGCGTTAAACCCAACTCACTCACTCATGAAGAGTACCTTTGGGTATTCCGAACGCAACGGCAGCTTTGCGTGCTCATATCTGCTTTGCGTTAACAGCATCCATAGCCCACTTTCAGTTGAATAAGCAGGTTTTCCTCCTCAAATGCCCATTTAACAAATCTAAACAGACGGTCCTACAATATAATTAGAACAAATCAATGGAACTATCATATCCATATAATGACGAATTACGTACGGGAATGTTACCGGTACTTAATATTTTATATATTATCAGATTAGAATGAATGAGGGTCCTCATGGGTATAACTGCTGACTGTAAACGTTAAAAACGTTCAGTTTCATCGCAAGAGTAAAATGTGAAATGATTTTCCTTATGGAAAACATTCGTGCATGTTATCTTCTGATTGATAAACGACACTGAGAGTGAGTGAGTGAGTGAGTGAGTGAGTGAGTTTGGTCTTACGCCGCTTTTAGCAATATTCCAGCAATATCACGGCGGGGGACACCATAAATGGGCTTCACACATTGTACCCATGTCGGGAATCGAACCCGGGTCTTCGGCGTGACGAGCGAACGCTTTAACCACTAGGCTACCCGACCGCCCCAACGACACTGAGATAACGTCTTTATTGATGAGATTGGCAGTAACTGAATATGTACACTAAAAACGTGCAACCGACATACTCTACTAACTCCCTGAATAAGACCTCCAAAGACAAAGTCACGAGCACCACTCCAGCCCAGCCCCAGTCAGAACCCTCTTAAAATATGTCACTCACGATAAAAAAAACCACCTAATTATTTCATTTTGCATTTTCTTATTCACCTTTCTTTCAATGATTTTTATTTAAATGATTTCTAAAATCATACTCAACAACAAAAGTTCCTGTGACACCAATATTTTAGTGTATTTTTCAAACAAGTAAAGTATGGTTTTCAATATTGTAGTACATGTATGGAATCAAGTCATAAAAACGCAACTGCTACAGAAAAGCATGCATTCCATGCAAAGGTTGACTTTTATGCAAGCCCCATGCATTTCACTACCCAAGAATGGGTATAAAAACATGTGCATTAACGGGATTCCATATGCATTGTTTAACATCGTGCTGACAACAACCACTCAGAAAAACAACAAAATTACGCAATTATTCAACATTACGAAATGCCACGCCTGTCCGAAAATGAGCGTCTGCGAGCCATTGGTATGCTTGAAGCAGGATCGAGTCAACGTGATGTTGCAAGACAATTTAACGTCCACAGAAACACCATTTGGTGTTTATGGCAACATTGGCAACAGACGAATGCAGTCAGGGACCATCCTCGGAGTGGCAGGCCACGCGTAACCAATAATCGACAAGACAACTGGATTCGAACAACACACCTACGAAATCGATTCCAGCCAGCAACAGTGACTGCAAGAAGCATCCCTGGCCTTCGAGGAATACCTTCACAAACCGTACGTCGTCGCCTCAGATGTGCAGGGATTGTCGCCAGAAGACCTGCCAGACGTCCCATTTTGACAGGAAACCACCGCCAAGCACGTCTACAGTGGTGCAGACAGCGTCTACGCTGGACGGCCATGTAGTGGGACAAGTTCTATTCACTGACGAGTCTCGTTTTCACCTCAGCCACAGCGATGGGCGGATTCGAGTGTACCGAAGTCGAGGTGAACTTTACGTCAATCATTGTGTCATGGAAGAAGATCGGTTCGGGGGCGGCAGCGTTATGGTTTGGGTTGGGTTTACAGCAATACAGAGGACCCGTTTGATAGTGGTAGAGGGAAATCTCAATGGACAGCACTACCGCGACGAGATCATCGGCCCTGTTGTTCTACCGTTTGCGTCGTCATGGCCCAGGCGTTACCTTTCAACATGACAACGCCCGGCCTCATATTGCTCGACTTGTTCAGGATTATCTTCAACCAAACAATGTGAATGTCATCCCCTGGCCGACTCGCTCCCCTGATTTCTCACCAATCGAGCACATGTGGGATGAGATGGATCGGCGCCTTCGACGTCAACAACGTGTTCCACAGACACTCAACTTCGAAACATGTTCCAGCAGATATGGACAGATATCCTTCAGGACTTTGTGCGACGCCTGGTCCATTCCATGAGACGAAGATGTGTTGCTTGCATCGCAACCAGAGGTGGACACACACGCTATTGATTTGTAAATTGACAATTTGGCATGTTCATGTTTTTTTATGAAATCACACAGTTTCAGATTTGGTAAAAAACATAACTTTGCATTAAATCTTAGTCAATGTCACAGGAACTTATGTTGTTCAGTATATTTCCAAATTTCATTTGTCGTCTTCCGAGTACTGCCTTCCCACGTAATTTCTCCGAGGTCGTTGTCGGACACAGCTTAATTAGGTTCTTTTTAGAATTTTCCAAAGGTTTCCATGTTAGCGGGGTCGATTCACTAGAAGTCATCTTTAATTAGATCCTGCTGTTTATCTTTAAGACACAGCTGAGCCTCACCTTTGTTAACTTGGCAAACCAGACACCTTTCACACATGTCTATTAATGACTGACATGAAACGCCGATGCAAATACAATGCTGACTCTTGACAATGACGTTGACGGCAGCACCTGACCTCTGGAAAACCAGGGGCGGTCGGGTAGCCTGGTGGTTAAAGCGTTCGCTCGTCACGCCGAAGACCCGGGTTCGATTCCCGACATGGGTACAATGTGTGAAGCCCATTTCTGGTGTCCCCGGCCATGATATTTCTGACAGAGGATTTTGATATTTTGGACCCCTCTCTTTTAAAAAAGCTGGATCCGCCCTTGCATTTCGGATTTGGCAGTATTTGAAGATCGGGGTTGGAATTGGCAGTCTATTGTGCTATCAAGTGAA